GGCTAAGTGTTCTTCGCACTATCCCCCATCTCACTCTCCACGGTTATATGCTTATGTAGGAACAACCCCCCACCCCCGCGGGAAAATATGTTACTAATACGAATATGATTTACATCTGATGTTAACATCGACCAAGGCTGTGATGGTTGATTCCGTTGGAACCCTGCTAACTGCATCAAACACCATGCATTATCCCTTGTCATCCCATGCTGTCGCTATTCTCGGCTAGAAATTCGTCTGTATTACAGCGGGCAGCAAGTCATGGCTTCATCTTGACTGGTGCCGACTACCTCTGACCGAAGATGATCGCTTAGCCTTGCCAGCCATTTCCATGACAAGCAGTATAGCACAAGGAAATGGAGGGCCTGGAGAACATTTCTCCAAAGCAAAACTTCATGGTATGCAAGCTAGATAGTTGCAAGAAGCGAAACATGCCGCGATTCTCAACTCGATAGCATGATGGTGCAACGGCTTGAAGACCACACGGTCACATAGAATATGGCGAAAAGTAGGCTCCCAGAAGCAGGCAGAATTCAGCAACAGGAATTTCATCCAGTTGAGTCGGGGTTCAACCTTCTGGTCCCAGCATAGCCCCACTCTGCATGTCAGCGTAACGTAGAGTAAAACGCATTAGACTATCGAATGATTAAGTGAATCATCTCACTTGCATATTTACAGCCTGCTTCGAGTGACACACATAGGCTTAAACGAGTTACTCAGCCTCATGCCAGCTAGTCAGTGTCGTGAGACATCTGGCGAATTCCATTGAATTGCTCGTGCGGGGACAAAGATTGTCTCATCTACATGTCATGTATTCATTCCGTGATGGTTATTTGTGTAAAAAAGGTACATTTGCCGACATTGAGCCATTTGAATATATATATATATATAGCCTGTGGAATATTATCCTTAGCATACTACCGACCGTATTCCTTCATTATACTTTTCAACATACACTGGACTCTGCTACGAGACCACTGCCCCTTCGCAATAATTGCAAACTGCAGTGAAGATGCTGCCAAATAGTCGAGGATGCGTATCTGGACATGCTGATGGCAGTGCTGGTCCTCATCCTCGTGCTGGTTTCATGATATCGACTTTGAAGCTGAGCCAGTCAGCCAGAAACGGATGCCTTTGGTGTACCATCTATTGGGAGGCCTTCAAACGTATTCAAGGCAATCGCAGACCAGAAGATCAGGAATTCATCTACTGGAGATACAATGATGAAAGCTTTTTTGAGCCATGGTATCAACCTGGCGACGTCAAGATACAAATCTACATCCAAGGTAAGTTGCATTTTCAGCTCGGGAACAGAATACCATTTACATGATGAGTGGCATCTAAACTAATGTGTACCACTATAGACTCTCGGGAAGATTTGAATGAAGATTTAGTATGTCAATTTCCTGTCAAGAATGTCCTTAGTGACAAGACAGACTCCGACGCCACTTTGACGCAGATTAAAAAGTGGCAGGCCGATTGTTTCACCAGTCATGGGACGTGCCACCCTGCAAACTCAAATACCTTGCTCCCCAAGCGCTGCATCGATGTCAGCAATGAGAGCACCATCCAGATTGTTGAGCGTGGTGACAATGCTCGGGCACAGTACATGTGCCTCTCGCACCAGTGGGGCAAAGAAGAAATGCCCCTCAAATTGACAAAGGATACCAAGGATTCCCTTTTCTCCGGTATCAATGCAAACGAGCTCCCCAAAACCTTCCGAGATGCTGTGAGTGTCACCAGACGACTAGGATGCCGTTATCTCTGGATTGATTCTCTCTGTATTGTGCAAGACGACAAAGATGACTGGGAAGAAGAAGCTGCGAAGATGGCATCGGTATATTTCAACAGTCTTCTGACGATCGCCGCTGCTGCCTCATCAGGCCCAACAGATGGTCTTTTTGAGTCCCCAGATGTACGACTCATGGACAACTTACCCCTCGAGTTAGACCAGTCGGTTCTCCCATTCCCCGTGTACGTTAGATGTGAGCCGCGATTTGAGGTCGGTCATTTGGCTGGAAATGAGGAGTGCGGCCTATTGGATCGCGGCTGGGTGCTCCAAGAACGACTTCTCTCTCCGCGAATCGTCTTTTTCGGGGCGAACGAGGTTTCTTGGGAATGCATGTCCTGCAAGGCATGTTCTTGCGAGCCGATATTCGCCCCATACAGACTCCAACAATATTCACCGCGAGAGCCGATGAACCCTAAAGCTGCATTCTGCCAAGCCTCCAGCAACGAAGGTCAGGCGCAAGGTATGGACGACGGACGACTCCTGGAGGCCTGGCACAATGTCGTCAATTCATACACCGGACTTCGCTTGACCAAAGCCACAGACATATTTCCTGCTCTAGCTGGCTTGGCTAAGCAAGTTAAGACAACACGGGGTAATGACCAGTACATGGCCGGCTTGTGGAAAGACACAATTATGCATGACCTTCTGTGGAGGAGGCGTGTATTCGGTGACTGGAACCAGTCTATCTGGACCGACCATTATGACCTACACAACTGTCTCGATGGCGGGGATCGGGGCAAGAGAAAGTTTCATGCAAGAGTGTGGGACCAGGACATGTCTGAGATCCGAACCCAAAAAACACTCAAACACAGAATCGCACCTTCTTGGTCTTGGGCATCGCTTTATAACCAGGTTGAGTACGACAGAGAGACGAACTTGCGCGACTTCAACTTGATTGATCTTGAGCTTGCGAAATTGGTCGGGGTCGACTGTGAGCACAAATATGAGACCGGCGCTCTGGAAAGCGCGGAGAACTCGTTCATTCGCATCAAAGGGAAGACAGCCGAGGTGGAGCTGCGGCATGTAATGGTTGGCAACGATTTTGAGTCTCGTCTCATGTCGAATGGCTGTGTCATGCCTTTCTCAGGAATAGATTTAACATTCCCGAGAAGACCTCCGCAGGACGGCACGGCATTGACTTGTCTACTCATTGCCACAGGCAAGATCAAGGAAAGAGTTCATATGAGAAGAGAACTTGGCCTCGTGTTGCTTGCCCAGGACGACAACTCGAAGCCTTGCCATTACCGAGTCGGCATGTTTTCCCACTCGTACCAGATTGGGAAGGAATCTTCTGTATTCGACGCTGTGCAAAGTACTAGTCTAGTCCAGATATTCTGATGTGCCGGATTAGTGGTAATACATCAGTAAGCTTGCATCCACTGTTCCAGATTAGGGAATACCAGTTGGGGAAAATCTCAAATAAATTATGGAGTGCCGATTCTCCTCCTCCTATATATCGAGCCCCTCTTGAAGCTGGGCTCCTGCCGACCTGGACACAAGCGCTGGCGGTTCGGTTACGTGGAAGACATAGCTATACTATCAAGCTCTAGTTCCCTAACCTAGAGTCTGGAGAGGGAGGTACCTGACGTTGGGTGCATTGAATTTGTGTGGGCTTTTTCAGACCCGCCAAAACCAAGTCCATCGGGTGCATTCACTGAAGACTTACGGTGCATTTAGAAAAAATCCACGAAGTCGAACTAGATTGATAAGAAACTTTGACACTTTGGATTCTGATCTCGTAAGATTACACTGATAATTATGAACGTCATTATCTCCCTGAAAATCAAAGCCCCCCTAAATAGCAGTGTCAAGAGTCGAATGTGGTATGTCCAGCCCACCTATATCATTAGCATCATTCTCCTGCAACCCTGTCGTGTAATGAAAGTCATCATCGTAGTTTCGCAGTGTGAAAGGATAAACGTCGGGCCCGAATTTGGTCGCTTTGTAGCGGAGCATTAATGTGCCCAAGGCTTCTGTCATCTTCGCATCGATATCTCTAAGCTTCAGTATCAGAGCCTGCTTGTCGAGAGAATCCAAGCCTTCCATGCTTCTGCTTCTCTTCAATATACAAAATACGACATCTTTGGACCTGGCCGCAAAACTGTACTGAAGAGGCGTTGCTATAGACTGTGGCATACCTTGCGGATCTGCGCCCGCTTTCAGAAGAGCTTCTGTCATAGGTACGGAGTGGAAGGCGACGGCCAGATGCAACGGCACCAAGTCTAATGGGAGAGGGTGATTGGGATCCGCTTTTTCTTCCAAGAGCAAGTCCACAATCTCTGGTTTACTCTCCATGATTGCGACGTGTAATGGTGTCAAGCCAAGGGAATCCTCTGTTTCAACCGAAACCCCTTGCTTGAGAATACTCTTGACATCCACAAGGTCCCCGCTCAGAATTGTATCTCTCAGCTTCCTGGCGAGAGAGTCAGTGTGGGGGATGTCTTCGGCAACCTCTTTCTCTTTTCCCTTTCTCTTGCGCTCATGTGCACGCTGAAGGCGAGATCTCTTCGTATACTCGACAAAATTTCGTAATATACGACGGCTTTCTTCCTCCCACCATCGAACTTGTGGCCTGTCTTGTCCTAGTGTACCGCGACCTGCTGGGTTGAAGGCATCTCTTTCGGTTTCGGCCGCTGCATTACCAGGCCAAGGCTCTTCCTCTGTAGAGGTCCAGGTTCTGAGTGTCTCCATGATCTCCATGACTGCTTGGCTCACTCTGGGGAGCTCTGTGTCTCCGCCTCCCGCTGTCTGCGGAAAAGAAGGGCCTTCTTTCACTAGCCCGATTTCCGACAATCGCTTCGGCCATTTGCCTACCAATTCGAAGGGTCCAATTGAGATCGGACTCCGAGGATGTGAATTCTTACGGTTCTCTTCATCAGGCGCTTCTGTCTTTAAATAAGACATGAAGGCCATGAGCTGGAAGATTTGTTTTGAAGCTTCCGGGTCACCGAACACCCTTCTGGCGCCTTTCGCCTTGAACAACTGAAGGATCGTATGAAGGTCATTATACCAGTTACACACCGCGATGGAGCCGCCTGAAGAGATCTCTGGAGGCTCTGGTGCAGTGGCTTTTAGCGTCGCAAAGTCAACGGCTGTCATATGAGATACAAACTCGCTGTAGTCTGGGAAGGAAGAAGATTCAACGGGGGCGTTGACATCCACATTCAGTTCTCTGCGGTGAAGCAGCATCTGAACAATTTGTACATGTCCAAAGCAAGCTGCAATATGCAGAGGGAGCATGCCGTGCAATCGGCAGATGTTGATTTGTGACGAGAAATCTTCCAGGCTCAGAAGAAACTCCATCATCTCGAGGTCGCATCGCTGATCGAACTCTTGCATTGGTCGAGGGCGATAGAGTAAAAAGCTCCAGACAGGCATAACCGCCTCACGGCCAGGTACGATGGAAGGTGCTTTTATGAAGAAGTGTAAATTAGAATGGCGAACAATCCATCGAAAACTCTCGATGAATCTCAAGTCCCGTCGGCTGATCCAGTCAAACCAAATGGGAGACTGCCAATAGCCGACGCATCCTGTGAATGCGTCTTGGTTGTCCCTTTGAGCGTACGAATTGATCAGATCCGCCGCTGCGATGTTTTTCCGGGCCAGGGCGTGCACCAGGGGTGTGAAACCCCGTTCGTCCAAGCCCTTCCAGTCCGAACCCGACTCCAGTAATGAGCGGACATAGAGAATGTTCGGAGAAGAGCAGGCGAAATGGAGGGGACCGCCTTGCCAGCAAGATATATTGTCTGAGAAGCACCCAGGAAAACTATGGAGCAGGAAACTGAAACAGTTTTGGGCATCATTAGAAATCGTGACCGACCAGATCGGCAACAATCGTAGAGATATTGTTATATCGCCAACGACCATTGTTGGGTTCTCATTCTCGAATAACCAGTGATCAAAAAATGCGACTGTCCACGAGAATTCTTCGTCTTCGCGCATGCTCCTCTGCTTATCCTCAATGATCAATTGTAAGGCATCGACATCGTCGCGCCGAATTGCAAGGTATATAGACATTCGACCGCCCCACGTCAGGAGTGTTTCCAAAGTTGCTTTGCGTGCTGTCCTCCAATCTGGTCCATGCCTGATCTTCTGTTGGAATACTTGATCGATTGAGCTAGATGACGTTTCTGTGGAACCGGCGGAAGCGATCAGTGTGGTGAGAAATGGCTGAATATCTGTCGGGATGGGTCGGTCAGGATCGGCTTCCCACATGCTGTGATTGTCCTGCTTGAGTAGTAGCAGAGCCTCCATTAGTTCGTGGTATAGGAAGATGGCACTCAGTACCAAGGCCCCTGGGAAGTCGGGAACAGGAGTATCATGCTCAATATGCAGGCAGAAAATCTCCAGTGCTAATCTCTTCTTCCCACGAAGTATGGACCATGAGAGAGCAGAGCCGTGGAAATTGGTTGAAATTGCGTAAAGTTCGACAGGCGCATCCGGAATCAGGCATTTGGTGAGGAGTTGAAGGCGAGCGCCCTGCGAGACTGAAAGCCTGGCGAGGCTAGTGGCTTCAGCGTCTGACAGTCGTGATTGAGCAAGTTTGAACAGGAGAGTTTTGCAGTCCTCTTTCGCCATCGTCTGTATGTGTTGTTCGATCTCTTCGATGGCGCCAATTTTAAAGGCGTCCTCAAGGCTGAGAGGGAATCCACCATTATACTCCTCGCAATGTTCAATGTCGTGTAATTCTTGAGCATATGGAGGACATGTGTTCCTGAACAAAACCCCTGGACTCGAGGTTGAAGCATGAAGAAATGCACGCGACAATTTGCGCATGATTTCTCGAATTGTCTTGAAGACATCGGGCCAGCGGTCGGCAAGACATTGCAGCGCCATATGGGAGCCCGAAAGCGTGAGAAGACAGAGGTTGAGGCGTAGTGGGAATTGCGATTCAAGTTTGCTTCCCATGAGGAGAAACGGTGCCATGTATACACACTCTTGTATGCCCTGAGATGCCGCAATATGCATCCACTTATGACTTCGAAGACCATCGTCATCGTTGGCGCTGATGGATTCGAATTCCAAAGCTGCCACGTACTTGGCAAGTTGTGTTTGCACCCGGAAATCCCCGTGGCCACGAGCGGCATTTGAGATTGGCTGCGTCCAGGGGCTAATACCCTGAAGTGCCGCACATAATAGTACGGAGATAATCAAGTCTAGTGACCCTTGAGCAGCATTTTCTGCAATGTCCAAAACTTGTTTTGCAATAGCGTGAAGATGCTCAACTGTATCAGATGACTCGGAAATGCCGATGGCTTGGCCTTGCGAGTAGATGCTCCTGATATCTTCTTCACATCGTTGGGCGATGATCTTCTTGATCAACATACCATCGCCCTCGACGACAAAATTTGGCCATAGACGCTGCCAGAAGTGCTCGTTAGCTGGGGTCAGATTAGGCGAAGTGATGCTACGTACCGATCCTGGTCTTGAAGTCCTAGCATGGTCCGGAGACTCCGGCGAATTCTGAGAGTCCAATGTTTCCTGTCTGCATGGAAAATCAATATCCAAGAAGCCTGATAGTTCAAGAAAATATAGTGCACCGACATTAGATTGCGTCCAGTAATGCTTGCCAGGTCATCCAGAAGATCAATCAACTGTTCAGGCCTTTTGCTGGGGTCAACTTGAAGAATAGGCGTGAGTATGTTCATGATCATAGACTTGTCGTCTGGTGCAATAGTGTCAAGCCTCTGATCTAGTGCAGATAATACTCTGTTAGATTCTGTATCGCATTTCATTAATGTGATGATATCCTCGCCCATCCCTTCAGTATCAGGGTGAGGTATGAATGCCGACAGGAAACATGATGACGGGTTTATGAGTCTGCCTCCACCATAGCTTCCGCGATCGGGGTATTTAGCCCAGAGGCTTGCCACAACGAGGCCATAGGTGTAGATATCAGCTTTCCGCCAATCCGAGGTAGTATCCGAGAATGGTATGATGAGTTCTGGGGCACACCAAATACGCGTAAAGTGAACTGGATTCGTGTGATCCTGGACTTCTACACTCCCGCCAAAATCTGCAATCTTGGCAATTAAATCTCGCCGAGGATCCGAATAGGCAGACACAATATTGTTTGCTGGCTTGATATCGCCGTGAACGAAGCCAGCTTGATGAATAGCTTGCAGACCGGAGGCAATATCAAGCGTTATATACTGTTTCTGTAATCTGGTCGGCGTAGATCCTGGCGTCCTGATGATGTGATCAAGAGAACCATGTGTTCCTAGTTCTGTAGCAATCATGGGATAAGGACTGTCCGCACTCCAGCCTATGAACAGGAGCGCGACCAGGTTGGGATGGCCTGAAAGACAAGGATGGCTAAGCACTTTCAGCTCACGGATTATGTGGCCATACACAGATTCGCGATCCTCACGGGAAGGTGTAAACAATCTACTCGAACCCGGATTAAGATCAATGTTCGTTGTTCTCGGAAAATGTGTAGTTGCAGTATGAAGCCTTACTTGAATACTTTGAGCGCTACGATAGTCCGATCCGACGCAGTCTCAACATTGAAACCGATGTGGCCATTGATAGCGTGCATCCCCACTTCGGAGGTAAGTCCCCCCCCAAGTGAATATACATTTCTGCTAGATGTCGGAGTGAAACGGAATCCCACTTCGGGAATTACTCTGGAAGGGGTCCCAGAGTCTTTTATCGTGGACAGAAGATCGTGGAGGTTCGAGTTCTGGTATCTCTGATGCCGGCTTGAGTGACTGCTCCGTTCTGAGCCAAGTTCGAAACTTCCTTGATTGCCATCGGGCGTAGATGATTGGAGAGATATGGATGAAAGGAGTGTCGCCACTTCCGACTCAACTCGACTAGATTGTTCCATAGTCAGAATGGCAATGAATGTTACTGAATTATAGCTGTCAAAGTCGTCCTTTTGCTAGCTCCATTATGTCAAGCTTATTAGGGCCAGAGGATCAAAGGATGGGGAGCAGGAGGAGACGAGAGGCGTTGAGTAGAGGAGAGAGGGGTAGGCGCCACTGGGATGGAATTACGAAGAAGGCCGCCGCACATGCTCCTTTCCTGCCTTGCAATCTATGTTTCCGATTGGAGTTCCATCCCGTCCTTCACTGCACTTCCAAGTTTTCTACTTAATACATGTATGTCTAGATACATGACCTGCGTGTCGATATGACTCTACGCCCGGCGTCTGAGGCGGGAGTAAATTAAGGTTTTGCGGCATGGGCGATATTGAAGTTTAATACCGCCCGATGCCACGGAGAGGAAGTACTTGGGCACAATTGCCATGAGATTATGTAGACGAGAATTGCCAACCACATATTACCTGCTCAGACATCTACAGGTACCTGCTTAAACTAGTACAATATGCATAGCTGATCATACCTTGGGACTCTTAAAGTTGCAAGGAGTGGTTTCGGGACGCCACTACATAATGCGCATCGGGCGGGCACCTCCTGTTGTTGAGCGAGCACCCAATCCATCTATGACAACTCTTCAGCCACTGCTCTCCCACAAGACAATATGTCCGTCGACCCGATTTCGCTTGCATTAAGTACTGGTGCTATTGCACTTGCTCTGAAAGGCGCTATTGACACGGCCCTGTTCGTTGAGTCGTTCTTCGATAGAGATATGATAAGTTACGGCTATCTAGAAACTTGTTACAGCACTGAAAGAGTCTGGCTACAGATTTGGCGGGAGACTTGCAACGTCTGCGAAAATAATGATGGCATCTTGCAGGAGAAACCAGAGTACCTGAAAAAACAGGTGATTCACATTCTCAATACTGTCCATGATTTGAGCCAGGACGCCAAAAAGATGATCGACAGATATCAGATTGTCGCTCCGGAAACTTCAGTCAAAGATTTGAACAAGGTCGTCAAGTCCGGACATCCATCACAGACCAAGAATGTCGCCGATTTGAGACCAAACTCGAGGGTAAGATGGATCATCAAGGGCAGGGCCGAGTTCGAGCAGATTATACGCCGATTTCGTGAGCAGAATCGTGACCTAGAAAGACTGACCCTCGGGCCTGGAGCGCGGGATGGATTAGCCTCGCGTGTCGTTTCCGGGATCCCAGAGTCTAGTCTCGCAGGGTTTGCTCAAGGATTGCATATCGTGCCCAAAACCAATATTGCGCTTGCAGCTTCAGTGAAGGCTCTTCAGCCATCATTAGAAAATCAGACCCTTACTTCAACTCAGTTGATGGGAGAACGACTCAAAATGGTTGGCCCGCAAAGCACTCGAGACTCGGCAACAGGAATGTTATCATTGGCGGACGGAAGCCAGGCACCCGTTTGGATCGAGTGGATCATACTGGAGGATGGACAAAACAGCAACACCAACGCCTACATCAGCAGGATCAATTCTCTGGGAGGACTATTGGAGCGGGTCGGTGATCCTATGCTACATCTCCTCCCATGCCATGGCGTCTTTCGCGATACAAACTATCAACAAAAATATGGAATCCTTAGGCTAGGCTACGTCTTTGGTGTGCCGCAAGGAAACGACTACGAAAGCGATCTTGTTGAGAGCCCGCCAATATCACTGAGACAGCTCATTGACGGATCAAATGATACCGATAATCGCGGTCGACTGCCGAGACCTTTCCTTGGCGATCGATTTCTACTCGCCTACGATTTAGCGGCATCTTTCGGTCTTTTCCATGCCGCTGGATGGCTACACAAGGGTCTTCATGCCGGAAGTGTGACCTTCCTCCAGAGGTCTACGCAGCGCTCCTCAGCCATAGAGTTGCGGGATCCCTTTGTGACAGGCTTCCAGTATTCCCGTCCACAATCAAGTGAGTCTCTCTCTCGTGGACCACTTGAAAACAAGGACCTCGACTATTATTATCACCCGGACGTTGGAAGAGGCTTTACCAAGCGCAGAGATCTGTATGGTTTAGGTGTTATCCTGCTGGAGATAGGTCGCTGGGGTCTTATAGCCGACGCTGTCAGCGAAAGGAACCGGCCTCAAGATCGCCAAGCTTGGCACACTTTCCTAATGAAAAAGGCCGTTCCAGATGTAGGATGGAGGATGGGAGAAAGATACGAGAAGGTGGTTCGCGTGCTATTGGAGTGCAAACTGCCAGGAGACGAGCACGATAAGGATTTCTATTTCCAACAATTCCAGGAAAGGGTACTCGAGCCCTTGAGCTCATGTAGTGCTTGAAGGCTGGATCGGAGGTGATCTCTTATAAAGCCGGCCACAGGAGGGTGCTGAGCCTACGAGTATTCCATGGCCACCTCCGTTAGTTGCTCTATTGGCATATCGCGGAGGCATAATAGCTGCCCCACGCCATCCTTGTCCCCGCAATCAACCTTTTTAGCTACGGCGCGGGTGTGAATCTCGGTTGTGTTACTCGTGATATTCAACTATCGTACTAACGTAATCAGTATCTACCGCAGATCACCTGCGTCGGTATATAGTCCCTCTTTAGCACCTCTATTTTGTAGATCAGAGATCAACTCAGACAACTTTTAATACTTCCTCGATCATCTCGTCTTCAATTCCCCTTCACATATCGGCTCAGGTGAGATATTTTCACGCGGAACTTGACCTTTCTTATGCGTTCCCAGACTTCTTATTAGTTGCAGAACTTCGTTTAAGAAATAATTTGGATTCCACCGGTGGTATAAATCAATTTGAGCAATATTAACCGCAATCAAGGGATCGCTATTAATGGCACCGATTACTTAGGTATCTATCGCTATGATATAATATGGATAAGGGATAGACAGATTTAATGCCTAGAAGTAATCACGATGATTTAAGGTGGCTTATCTCGAGGACCGAAAGGAGCGGTCTCGACGGTTGAATCCATTGGTTGCTGCAAATATATTGTTGGTGACAATTTGCGACCCCACAATCTCCAATAAGTATTTGATAGGTGTGATTTACCTAGGCTCTGCGGTGATAACATGCGTCCGTTGCTGCACGTTTGCTGTTGGTGACAATATGCATAGTCCTGTTGGATGCACCAGGTGAGTTACAGATACCGGTGCTTCCTAGGCATGGAACACTCTGCATGTCTGGATTACTACCTCAGAAAACGAGGTACATGCACGATACTAGGTTACTAAATACATTAACACATCTACTTCACTGCCACACCATGCTGTCTAACAAGTCTCCAGCGTATAAATAAAATATTCATTATTAGCCATCGTACAAGAATCCATCCATTCATGCAACTAAAGTGTTGGTCAGGATGCCTACCTATTTACGACCCCGCTAATAGCCATGGCAGTAATATCCACCACTTTGCTGCGGGCATATGTAGGGACTTCTAGTGCATACCTAGCCAAGCGTAAGTCACTTAGCTGAACGGCGTCTACCCAGTACAACACCATTCTCAAAATTGTCTATTTGTTTTCCCTGGATTTTTTAATGGCCACCAATTGCCTGATGAAGTATCGGAAGAATAAAAGGATACCTAGGCATGTATTTACTATTATAAGATTGAGTAAATTTGAGGGACAACGGGGAGTGGTTCTATCCGGACTGCCAATTCAGTATACCGCACAATTTTGTGGATTCTGGGGAAGGCATCAGGGTCACAAAGAAGTTATTTGACGATTTAGTGGAGATCTTAGAGGATGTTGAGCCAGGAATATCCGAAAACATTATATCCCAAAGATAAACATAGTTTCATCGATATACCCCTCCTTGTTGCATTATAACAACATAAGTCAACATGATATGTCTGTTATTGTATCGAAACAAAGGGGGCATGGCTATCACCAGTTCCACAGAATCTAATTATGGTCAAGCCACGTGAGTCTGACTCCATGTGTCCTTCACGAAGTCAGCGCATCGCTCCGCTACCATGTACACAGTGGCCATGGGCTGTGCAGGGGCCGCAGATGGGAGAACGCTTGCATCGGCGATTCTCAAGTTCTTGAAGCCATGCACCAGCAATTGGCTGTTGACAACTCCGCCCTCATCTTCGGCGGCCATACGGCAAGAGCTCGTCAGATGGAAACTAGGACTGATGTACTTTTCGATATACATGTCGAGGTCATGATCTGATACCGATCGCCAATCGCCTTCTCTCCAAGCAGATTTATTGTTGCCACCCGGTGCACCAAATACGTTCGATTCATTAAAACATACTTTTCGCCTGCGCTCGTCCGCAGCTTAGTAATATCCTCAGAACGACAACCGTGTGGGTGCATAGCCTTATAATAACATGCTTGTAATACCTCCACCTTGAGGTGCCAACTTCTGTCCCGGCGGCTCATCAGTGCGTCCCGATGCGACTAAGCGTTTAACCTTGTGTCAGACCGAAATAGCCGGTAAAGGCGAAAGCAAATGAAACTAACAGCCTAGACCAAGCCCACCACAGGTTATCGCCATAGTTCAGCACGACAAAAAGGTCGACGATGCCGAGCCAGGCCACACCCATCAGAAGGATATCGAATTCAGCGAACTATCGACGCCAATAAAAATAATGCATCAGGAAACCGAGAAGGACGATGCGGCCCTGGCCAGCCTGCCAAACGGGCCAGGTCTCTGGAATATTTGCAATGTGAGGAGGCAAGCCATAAAGACTAATAACGCTGCTGGTACCTCCTAAGGGGGTCATGACAAGACCAACACAATTCGCAAAAGCGAAATAAAGTGCGGGAATATGGCCAAGGCGAAAATTCCAGACCATCTTGTGACCTCGTGGTGTTGTATTGCTTTGGTTTGCGTATTGGACTGGATGAAGGGCACAGGCCAAGGAGTGGATGGGGGCAAAGTCAGAGATGGATATAATGACAAAACTTGTCTGCCTGCCTTGCGTTTACTGCGAAGTATAGGGGCCTTAAGTACTCGGCAAATGCGGAAAAAAGGACAAAACCGGTCAAGGCAGGCTGGTGGGAGTCTGAAAATGCCGACGATTGCAGACAGACACAAAATCCCTCTATGCCAACAGCCAAAGAACTATAAGGCTCCAGGGGTGTCATCACCCATGTAGCCTGCGTGCAGCCCCCACCTTGACTATCATGAGATTTGTACCGAGTACCCGCAAGGAGCCATAGTTATTCCCAGGCATAGAAAAGATCCAACCATGCCAGAATGCCGTCAATACTCCAAGTGTTATCCTATGTATGTTGGGAGCCGGTCATATTAGCTAGCTTATTAGCGTTGCATCGCACGATGTCAGCACATTCGCTTAACGACCTTGATTTATACTTAGCAAATTGTGGATAGTGCACGCTGTTCTGTTTTTCCCTTTTTTTTTCATTTTTCTACGGGCCGCCTAATGCCTTAACTATTCGACTTTGCTTTGTCCCCTCCATTCGCGGCTGCTATTCCCAACGGTGGTCATGGTAACAAGGCCTCGCCAAGGGCCTCCATCGCCCGGCAGCATGAAACAGTCATCACCATTACAGCACAGTACCAGTGAAGTCCAACACAATGTTCGATCATTCAGTTCTGACTGAGAAGGTCCAGCAAAAATGGCGATTTATGCTCATCCTTGTTACTCTCTCGGTCTTGACTTTCATCTCGGGCATCGATGCAACCATCATTACAAGTTCACTTCCGACTATTACGCAAGAAATTGGGGCTGCTGGCGACTATACGTGGGTCGCTCAGTCATACCTGTTCGCCTGCACGATTCCTCAGCCACTCTATGGTCAGCTCGCCAACATCTTCGGGCGGTCCATACCTCTTCTCATCTTTATTAGGCTCTTTGCTCTTGGCAGTGGCATCGCAGGCGGTGCACACAACCTGGCTACACTCGATCGGGGGGGGGGGGGGGGGGGGGGGGGGGCCGATAATCCAAGGTTTAGGGACCAGTGGAATCAACGTCCTCCCAGAAATCATCATTTGCGACCTAATACCGCCCAACGATCGTGGGGAAATACTTGAGTATTATGCTGTCAAGAGACGCGGTAGGGAGTACTATTGGTCCTATTGTGGGTGGTGCTCTGGCAGAGACCAACTGGCGTCGGATCTTCTGGCTCAACCTCCCGGTATCAGCAATTTGTGCTCTGTCAATCTTATTCCTTCTGGGAATACGACACCAGCGTGGCCAGCCGTGGCAACGCATGCTTCTCCGGGTCGATTTCTTGGGCAACGCTATTTTTATCCCATCCATGGTCGCGCTCTTTTACGGCCTTATCATGGGCGGTAAACATGGCTATCCTTGGGATTCATAGCGCGTTATTATGCCAATTATCTTAGGACTCACCGGCTTGCTACTGTTTCACGCTCAGCAAAGCTCCAATTTCTGCAGGGAGCCGAGCACACCTTCGCGTCTCTTCAGGCATCGCACGTCAGCCATGGCTTTTGTCATCATCTTTCCTATCTCTATTGCGATTCAAGCCACCACCTATTTCTTGCCTATATACTTCCAGGCTGTAAAGAATGTCTCGCCTACAATGTCTGGTGTCTACTTTTTGACGTTCGCCTTGGCTCTTTTCCCATTTAGTGGTATATCGGCTGCAATTCTGGCCAAAACAGGCCAATACAAAGCTCTAACTTTGGCCGGTTTCGCCTTAAGTGCCATAGGAATCGGTCTGTTCTCTACCCTCGATGCTCGCTCTAGTCACGGTGAATGGATTGGCTTCCAGATCATCGCTGCCGCAGGAACAGGTTTTGTCTTTGTCGTTTCGCTACCATCTGCACTTGCTGCACTGCCCGAAAAGGACGTTGCGACTGCCACCAGCGCTTTCGCCTTCATCCGCGCTCTAGGGTTGGTTTGGGGGGCCACCATGTCCTCCATAGTTTTCAACGCCCAGGTCAAGGGTTTTAAAATATACTAAGGCTTTATAATATTACTATACGATATTATAGCACTTAAGGTTAATTAAGTGCTTTTCGCACTATCCCTCGGCTCACTTTCCACGGTTATATGCTTATATGCTTATGTACGTAAATAACCCCCCCCCCCCCCCCCGATATAGACAATGAAGCTGATACAAGGGCCCTATTATAGTAACAAGGCTTGCCTCGGCGACTCTGACGAGCTGTGTGGTGGCTTGGCCCGTCTCGACATGTTCATGATCTCGACCGCCGTGAGCGCCTGCGATTTTGCACTTTCACTCAACCTGCTCTATTTAATTCAGAAGAGAGAGCACGAATAATTCTTCAATTCCACTTGATAAATTGATGACACTCAACTATGCAAATAAAATTTCTTGTAATTTTGGCCTACTCTCACGTTTGAGAGCCTTCTAAAGCAGGCCCAGGTCGTATACAAGTGTTTCGATGACACCACTTCCCTTTCTGCTTATTCGAGTCCATTCATAGCCCCATCCTATCGCGCCAAAACCTGGAGTGACTGCCTCAACCGCCTTCGTATATGTCGGGTTTGCCGTCGCCTGAAATACAACCGTTGGAAATCCGATCCGGGTGTTCATGTCGAAGAAGATTAAATATTACTACCTATATATCAACTGGGAAACAAAATGAATAACCGCACATGACGATGCATGCCGCTAGCGCCACTGCAAGACTGTCAACACCAGCGCCAGCACTGAATAGAAAGCTGTGCGGCGACGGGGTACGGTAATTCCCCGATCGTTCTCCATCTGCGAGGAAGACAAGCCGTATCCATTTGCCGCGTCTTTGCCGTTGAAAGCAGCGCATTCTTGGCTGCGACCAAAACGTCGCATTCTGCATATCCAGGATGTTGCGGCCTGCGGTAATGTAACATTGTGAGGCTGAGTTTATAAAGGCTGGCATTTTCCCCGGACGCTTGCCGAACAGCCACTATGCACATATGTGCATGATAGCGGTGCCTAACGTACCCCGCAAAACTTAAATCGATATAAAAGTTACTGCTGTCACATGCTAGTACCCTGGCCACGGTAATACTACTATAAGCACCCCCAGCCAATACGCTATTTCCGCCATCTTCTTCTTTTTAATCTAGGTAGGTACTTTACCATAACTATTTATGCCCACGTAGATTAATCAGTTTCCCGAATACACTCTTTAATGGCTTAGCCAACTAGTAAATTCAATCGTTTATTGATACCATTTGTCTTCTTCAATATATTCGTATGTATACTCGTATCTCCGCCCCCGCCATACAGTTACATAGGGTGCGTTGTATGAATACGGCTTGGCAGTTTGGGGTCACTTTCCTGTTGTGGGATGGGCCGGCTGGCCAATGCTTGTTTCTACGAGCTGCTGCCAGTTTCTGGAAATTGATAGCCGCATATCACCGTTGTCCTCGTGTTGGCAATAACACCCAGAAGTATACGCCGTCCGAAATGGAGTCAAAGTCAACCAGCAACGATCTTCAGAGTCCCAGGCGAAACCTCATTGAAAAATAACAATGTCTATAAGAACGAGTTATATCCCACCGTAATAACAAGCAGAACTAGGTCAACACCTTCGACGATCCTCAGTGAAGCCATTGTCTCCATCGGGATACGCTTAAACACAGCCCATCACAGCCATGCTTCACTCTCTGGTTGCCTTCGTTCTGCTTGCGAGCAGCGGCTTCGCCTCACCTGTGGAGATGGACGGACGGCAGACAGCATGCCAGTCTGTGCATGTCTTCGTTGCCCGTGGCTCCGATGAGCCGTACCCGGGCCGCCAGGGCGCCCTCGCCACTGCCATCTGCGACGACATATCCAGCTGCGGCTATGAAGATATCCAATACCCGGCGACCTTTGACGACTATTGCACATCGTCCCAGACCGGTGTCACCAATGGCAAAAGTGCCATCACGGCCTACGCTGCCCAATGCCCCGACGCCAAGATTGTGCTAACGGGATACTCCCAGGTGAGTTTCGCTAACCACGAAATGGACACTTCTTCTGTTGGAGGGAAAGAAACAAGAGGAACAGAGAATCAAGTGCTGATCACACTACTCAGGGGGCTCAAGTCATTGGCGACATCCTCGGTGGTGGAGGAGGCAGCCTCGGAACTTGTACGCAACCAGCGTCGACCGGGTTGAGTCGCACTACGTCGCCCGGCAACAAGAGTAAGCTCATCAGCACACAGATCCCTTGCATTTAGTGTGGTCCGCATATAATTGACTCCCTGATACAGTTGCCGCCGCTCTTCTCTTTGGCGACGTCCGCCATGTCGCCAGCCAAGCTTACAACACTGGCACAGGTGCCAGCAAAAATGGGGTGAGTCGAAGAATAAATTGTAGCTTTTTTTGGTCGACTAATCCATACTTGCCAGATCTACCCTCGCTCAACGACTCAGATTTCCGGTCTCAATGCCTATTCGTCAGTGCTCCGCTCGTGGTGTCTCTCTGGCGACCCCGTGTGCGCCCAGGGCACTGACTTCAATGCCCACACCACCTACTTTGACGTTTTCACGAGCGAGGCTGCTGCTTGGGCCAAGACCAAGTTGTGAGATACGTCGGGTCTGTCAGAGTTGGGCTCCTTCATTTTAAACAAGTACATCGACGGCACAGGATTGCGCGGCGGGTATTTCGCCAGGCCGGGATGAGTCAGCCTGCATATACGATGCCTGTTGTCCACCGCAGATCAGCCGCTCAAGTTTATCAGATAGCTCCTGAGCACCTCTCTTTTATATATTAGCTTAGGGTTGCCACTTAATTCATCGATTAATCTATTTAAAGTTGCTGGCAAGTGTAAATAAACACCCCCAGTCGAGTACGGATCTAATGGGGCCGCGCACTCGATAGCTGCAAAAGCGTGCACAAGGTCTGCATACGTGTATGTGTCATCTGCTAGATTCTTAGAATAGAAGCGATAGCAACAATAGTACACAAAAAGCAAACTTGACAATGCTATCTTTTATTGGCGTTGTGCTCGGGATCCCTCGCTTGCTGACTACCGCCCCAGTATGCGAATCAATATTCGGCCCACTTTATATGCAGCAAATATAAAAATAGACTTTGCAAGTGGCTCGTCAATGATTATGAGCCTTGCACTTTGGTATATAGTCTCGCTTCTTTTCCTCTTGCGTTATATCTCTCTATATTAATATTTTTGTCCCCTTTTAATCCAATCAAAACAGCTTTCGCCAGTTTACTTGTTAAGCGTTTATACCGTAAATATGAAATTTCCCACGGGGACCTAGCAGGCGTCGCGAATCCAAAGCTTAATCCGCCATAAACCAGGCCTTTCACCTGGCCGTAAGCTAGCTTGACGTAGGTAATGAAGATGGGGGCCATGGCGGGTAAGCAGGCCACAATGATGCCAATCCAGATCTCGAAAAAGCTCAATATCCCGGTATCAGCGAGCCCAATCATCGGGTCCAGATCTGGGTGAATGGAGAGGTAGACGCTGTAACACATGATAATAGTCGTTCTGGTTGCATGTAAATTCTCCCATGGCAAGCAAACGTTTGGGAGGCCGTGTCCCGATGCGAAGAAAACTTACGCGAGCCCGAGGTCGAACATGACCATCACAACAATCCCGTTATGTAGAGGCATTCGCAAGTTCCACACCCAAAACATAGGCAAGACAACGATGGCGGCATCAAGGAACGCATTGGTTACGTTTGAGCTCAGTTGAGTCTTGCTTAGGTCTTCGCACGACGCCCAGGGAGATGGGTTCCTAGCATCGCACTGGGCAATAAAGGTAACAAGGAATGTGATGCCACAGCTTATGTTAAGCAGCATGGGGGCTCGTGCCCACATTTTGAAGCACTTTGAGGGAAATATCCTCAAGTATAACCAGATCATTGCGAGCTTGACAAATACTGTGGACACGATCCAGATAACCAGGAATGCGAGCAGAGCCTTTGGTGTGCCAGAGGTTTAGTTCAGTACCCTAGACTGTCATAAAGTATACAGACACATAGTCTTGCAATACGTCCGCTGCGGTACGACAGGGATATGCTTATTCATCCAGGCGCTCTAAAAGAGAAAAAAAAAACAAGGCCCACCTTTTATGGCCGTTAGCGCCGAGCAGAAGTCCCGTATTGTTAGATATAAGGTATAATATAATTGTTAGATGGTGGATCATAGTTCTTATATACTGGGGTGTGCTATAGCATACTTGTTAGATGGTGGATTGTGGTTCCCAGACACTAGGGTGTGCTTAATATAATCGATACGCACCGTAGTGTGGTATGACATATATAATGGGATACGCAGGCGTATCGGCATGGATCCCAGGCTTTGGATGAGGATATATATAGAGAGATCGACGATAGAAATCCTAATTGCGTGTGGTTGGTTACAATTTAGGACGTTGCATCCAAACAAAATACTATTTGGGATTAATGAAGTAGTGTCAGACGTATCTGAATTTGACTGTAAATTAATAAGATAAAACAAAAGAGGGAATATGTCAAGGTGGAAAAGTTGTTGACTACTCTAAGTACTGCCAAACCTCGGAGAACTGGGAAGCCGCAAAAACATCAAGTCAAGTCATGTCCAAAAGCCAAACACACGTCGAAAACCTCCCCAATGTCGACAGTGAGGCTATGGACTGAGCTCCTACCTTGCATTTAAATTTATTGCATCATAATCATTCCAATGCTCCTCTGTAGTGATATGTAACGGTATGCTGATGCTACTCAAGCTGACAGATGAATCTCCTAGAAGAATAATCCCTTAATAGCCGCCCGCGGCGGCCGGACAAGGACCGTAAACAGTGCCCATAGAGTTGTGCATATAAATTCCTTGGTGATCACCGAAATATAAAGTCGCTGTTCCGGGGTAGAAATATTCCGGAGTGCCCGCAGCCTGCGGCCCACTGGGGTTCTCCTGACCCGGGTAGAATGTCCAGGATGTTGTGTTCGCCGGGTTGATCCATACCATGCCCGAGAGATGGCGATACCCCATCCACTGATAGGGCACGGATGGAACCCAGTCGTTCCCGTTGGTTACACCAGTGTATTTTCCAAGGAACACCTGGTCAAAGCTGTTTGCAAAGGCCGGATCGCCGACCCGCGGTACGCCGTAGGCAATGACTTTGTCAACGATACCGAATTCCTTTTGAATGGCAAGAGCAGCGAACAAAGCAGCGGCGGCCCCTAGGCTATGACCTGTCACGACGATATTGCTGGAGTTGTATTGCGCCGTGACCTCGTACAGACCTTGCTTGACATCAGCCCAGGTAGCATACCACTATAAATTTTGAAGTCAGTGAGCTCTCTGTCAGATGCCTATCGTCGATCTTGAAATCCATAGAAGCTATAGTATCATGTCTTTAGGCATATTGACCTTGAAAGAAACAGCAATATTCGTTTCCTAAGAGGTTGAACAGGGTGAGGAGCAATTATGAAAATCTCTTACAGCACTTTGAAAACCAGCATCGACCAGATTGCTCGCGGGGATGCCAAGATCGAGCGCGGGAACCGTCTGGACAGCTGCAACGTCGTGAACAATGGATGTGAGGCTCGAGAGATTGGTGCCTTCGTAAGCGACGATGATGCCTAAGCTGTTGGAGTAATAGATATTGGCACGCTGGGTGCTATCTCCGTTACCGTAAGCCTTAAGCAACGTCTGGTCGCCAATTTTCTGTCCTGGCTGGTTCGCTGCTGATCCGCAATAGGTATTCTGGACAGATCCCACAGTTGTGGTAAAGTCGGAAACAGGGAATGGCAGATCACCCCGTATTTCCAAGTTGGTTCCCGGCAATGCCTGAGCTGGACTGGCGAGCCCAAGAAGCAGGCTACTAGCTATGATAGAGAACTGTCGAGATAGCATGTTGAATATGGAGGTGATGAGCGGAATGAGTGTGTACTGCTTCACTTGGTTGATATCGTGTGTATTCGCCAGTATTTATGTTTGTGTACCAAGAGATACTATTCATGTGAGCCTCGGCATCAGGTCTGATCTTCTCGAGCCTCTAGGCTCCTGCTAGATACGAATATAGAAGTTATCCGCAAGCAATCAGGGTTGATCTTCAGCATTACGATGTAACTATTGTAGCTACCCTGTCCTGCATATTGATGGGGGCGGCAAGTCTATGATCCATTTTCACGATCCTTCCAATTGTTTCGTCGATGCATATTTGGTTCTTTTTTTTTNTTTTTTTTTTTTTTTTCCCCTTTTCTTTTATCTCACAGATTCAACGTCATAAAAGAGATGCACAGATATCAATACATGCAGATTTAACCAATGTACACAATCAGGTTAGTTTTGCAAATGGGTATCTATTTCTGAGCAATTGGTGCCTGAATCCATCTTGGGGGTTCTGCCGACATTCTTCCTACGTGTTTAGCACGTTTAAACGAGTCGTGCTCATGTAGTGACTCGTATTCATCCTGTCACGTCTCCACCGCTTCGGACGCTGACTTGAGTGGATTTGGTAACGATGGTCGATTTCGACCAACGACTTCGATGCATCTGAGCTTTCAAGCGTCGGTTGTATTGCAGATTGCTGCCGCTAGTGATTGAACAAACCTAACCTTTTCCAGATCAAGTTGCGAACTGTTTGGCAGCTCACCAAGCTTGTCGTGAGATCCTAGGACGATCTATGGGAGCGGACCGCTGGGGGTGGTCTCCACATCGGCAGTTGGTAAAATAATGATATGTCGGTCTAGTCCAAGAATGGATTACGGTGCCAAGCGAGCTGAAAACTGTTGCATTTCTCCATGTGGCAGTCAAGGGTCGCAAGACGATATGGCTTGATTTATCAACCATTGTCGCTCGAAAATTTCGAGAACAATATAGCCTTGTTGCAAGAAGGAAAGCACATGCTATACCTCGGCTCGGCGACCCTTCCAGGCCGGTGATCTTGTCAGTTCGTGTTTTATCTGAGTCAGTTTGACCAAGCAGGCGATTTCTGTGAGTATATTCTCTTTTGGATATTCCATTGTCAAGAAGCCGGATGACGTTCATGCCTTGTGGATCCCTCGTTATAGTGGAGGTCAAAGCCGATATTAAAGCTTAAGACAATTGTTTCATGCAGCAATGTCACGGGATGAGTATCAGCGATAATCTTTGCTAACATGAATCAATTGATTTGCCAAATTTGCTGATCAATGTCAAAACGCACAACAATCACTCGAATGCATTACTGGAGACCTGCTGCAACTGAGAAGCTCCTTGGGTCTCTGACCTGAGCTGTGTCAATCCGTCATGTAGACTTCTGAGACTCCACCATGCTGCTCAGCCAATCTCGTACTTACATCAAAAGGCTTGTGGCGGCGAAAATCAACGTAGCCACGTAGTCGATGCTCTGAAAAGATAATAATGCGTATGATCTATCCTAATCAATGTTCAATTTGATTTGAACATCTAGGTCAGCTCCGAATTAAATCAGTGGGATAACTCGTGTAAGACAGAGAGTTGACCGAAATATCACCACTTGATGGTACAGGCAGTGGCTGGCTCATCTGTTGTGGTAGAAGATAACATGGAGCTTTCGCTTAAAGAGAACCAGTAGTTAGATAGCTTCCCAGTTATGACACAATAGATCTAGTTCTACGGGAATTATCTATCCCTTCTGCGAAATATTTCACGTCGCAATACACTCTAGCAATGCGTTGTAGAGGCATGGTTTCCTCTGAATCTTGATGTTCGCAGAATAGAGCTCAAAGGAAGATCACTCAAGAAGTCAAGTGTTTAAAGAAAACATTTTATTCTGATGAAACTCTGTGAAGTACATCGCTCATTTTTCTTGATGGCTTTTTTACTATCAAGACTACTCATGGCCTCAAGTATTGTAATTTCGAGATATGTTCGCGCGCACCCCGGCATATATGCATCCTTGATCCGCCTAGCGCTGTCACGATGCCATTGGACCGAGTTCCCACTCTTTGCCGTTGTGGTTCCTCCACCAGTATACAAAGATTCGTCCAGGTTGTGTTCAAGGCACGGTTTCCAAAGATGCTTCCTTATGTTTGTCTCATCACTCAAACAGGATGTACTTTTGAATTCCTTCGCTGCCAGCTCAACTACCACGGTCTATCATGACAACACACGCCTTTAGTCGAATGAAACCGATATAGATTTGAAATACTGTAAAGACGCGTCCAAAACTGTAAAATGTTATTTTCCGCACGTGCTTTGGTGGGGTTGTTGGCAAGTGCACTAAGCCATCTCCGGTGCCGCTATCAGTATAAGGTCGACCATCTTTTGATCCTAAAGCCAACAGTCTTGGACATCACCATGCCGTAAACCATCATACACTTGCAAGACTAGTCAACCAACCTTTGGAGTGCGCGCATCGCGGCCCAATCTGAGCCTGCCGGGCGGGCCGGGCGACGGCTATTGTCTGCGAGTCACTTTGCAGAACGGGATGCTGCTTTTCTTACTTCACTTCTCATAGAGTCAACATCAGTACGTGCTAAACTCCCCACCATCCCCTCCCTTTTGTACCTTGACCGGGCGATCCAACCCCACCTAACCAGATTTCACAGCCTTGTACACCTCCTGGACAAACCGTCACCTATTTTCACGCGGAACTTGACCTTTCCCAGGCGTACCCAGACTTCTTGTTAGTTGCAGAAATCCGTTTGAGAAATAATTTGGGTTCCACCGGTGTGAATCAACCTGAGCAAAATTGACCGCAATCGAAGGATCGCTGTTAATGGCACCGATTACCTAGGTATTTATCGCTAATATACAACATCGATGAGGGGTAGACAGATTCACTGCCTGGAAGTAGTCACAATGATTTGAAGTGGCTTGTCTCGAGGACCGGGAATACTTGGGCCTACCAGATCTGCGTATGCTGTTTCATTTTTCATATAACTATTTTGCAATCCTCCAACCTGGACTCGTGGTGATGAAAGAAATAAGTACAGTAAAGACCAAACTTCGACTCCTCTCTACATGAGTTTAAGCTCCTCTATGAAGATTTCCGCCGCCTTCTCACCAATGACCAACGCCGTAGCATTTGTGTGGGCTGCTACGTTGAATGGGGGGATGCTTAGATCGGCAATCTTTAGTCCTTGAACGCCGTAGACGGCCAGTTTGTCGTCAACAACGCCTTTCTTGTCCAAGGGCGCCATCTTGCAAGTGCCGATAGAGTGCCACGGTGTTGAGACGTGCTCGCGTACAAACTGATCAATGGCGGCATCGTCTTCTTCCGAGTACGTAATCTCAGGGATGTCCAAGCTTTGGGCGTTGTCGCATTTCGTGGGCTTGGCTTCCGATTCTGCCGCAAAGGCAGGGTGGCTACTCGCCACTTCTCCACGGTATGTCTTCATCCGGCGAGCGATCTCGCGTTGCTTTTTATAGCCCCATCGACAGGCAAGGAGATCGGCACCCTCCGGATCCGAGAGGAGGCCGAAGTCGAAGTTGACCGGGTCGTCCATGTTTGGACCGGTAATGTGGATTTGGCCCCGGGAGTAGGGGTATGCCGTGAACACAGACATGGTGAAATATTGCCCGGGTTCTCCGACAGGTTCAGCACCGCTAGATGGTTGTAAATCGTCAGATAAACTATTGCATATTACCCAGGAGGTGCCGTTTTCGATCTTACACATTGGCAAGGACCATCAAGCTCAACGGTCTACTTGGATTTTCTTTGAAATCCCTTTCCCATAGCCTTTGGAACTTGGATCCAAGAGCAGCGGCTTCTTGGTCGGTCGGCCGAATCTTTCCGGTGATGTCGAGGCAGTTCCATCCGAGTAGCGGATCATTTCTCATCATCATGCTAGGAACGTCAAAGGTCCCCGTAATGATACCATCGAGTGTCTCGTTGGGACCAAGGTCGGACCTGTAGATATATGTCATGGTGTGGTGATCCTCGTAACCATCACCAACACCTGGCAGGTCGACAATAGGCTGAACGTTGGCGCGTTCAAGGACAGCCTTATCACCAAGTCCGGATCTCTCCAGAATTGATGGCGTACCACAGGCACCACAAGACAGGACAGCCATCTTTCTGGCTTTGACTGTTCGGGTCACGGCTCCGCTGGACTGGTACGTCACTCCAGAGACTCTCTTGCCGTCAAAGGTGAGACGGACGACCGAGGTATCAACAAGAACATGAAGATTTGGGTAATTCTTATCTTGCAGCTTGGGATGGAGGTACCTGTGAGCTGAGTCCTGACGCTTGCCTTCGTCGGGAGATATGTAGCGCTTTGCACGTTGGACCCCATTGACTGATTCCAAGTCGCTAATATCTGCCAGCTCCTTCAATCCTTGGCGCTTCGCTGCTTCCAAAAAGGCATCTTGCGATCTCTTGGAAGAATATGTGCCATATGATATGTGAATAGGGCCGTTTACGCCGTGGTTTCCTTTAAGGTCCTCTCCGTGATATGTTTCAACCTAGAATAAAATTATTAAACATTAGAAAATGAAAGATGACGTCCTTTTTCATTTAGTAATTACCACTTACACGCTTCATGTAAGGTATCAGATCCTCGGCGGACCATCCGGGCATTCCCCAGGAGTCAAAGTCCACGCCTTGAGCCCGACTGTACATGAGCATATTCACGGATGAACCACCCCCAAGAACGCGCGCGGTGGGAACGACTGGCTCTCTATCGCCCAGGAACTGCGACTTTTTTCCTACGTGAAAAGACATTGTTTTGGATCCTGGAGCGAGGTGGGATACAAACAAAATTGGAGTTACGATGGTGGGGTCTTCAAAATTGTTCGGTCCGGCCTCAATCACAAGGATGGATAAGGACGAGTCGGCCTCGGAGAGTCTTGAGGCAACGACGCATCCCGTCGTGCCACCTGAAAACACGCGATACAGTCAATTTTGGCTCTGGTCAAGGACAATACCAGTAACACTTACCGCCCGCGATAATCACATCGACGGCATCGATCTCGACGGGGAGCTCGTTGTAAATTGGCATGGTGCTAGAAGGCTTTCCCAAAGAGTATCGAGTAGGATAGGCAGAGCCTGTTTGTTCCAAATGAGTATAAGATTGGCTGAGAACGAGGTTGGGAAGATTTTTATTTTTCTGTGTACTGCGCCGCACAGCCCGTACATTTGTTACATGGGCTAAGCCAGTTGCATTGCCTATTTACATGATTACATGAGATTCACTGTCCATTTCGTGTATAAATACCGAGACAAGAATCTTGTCTCACAGTAGCGATATTTTGAGAGCCACGCGCAGTGCAGCTCTGTTTCGTTCACTTTCCAAGTACCTACCTATTCTCCTGTCTTGGCCGTTATTTTGGGCTTCTCCGCCGGCTCGCTCCTAGTTGCCATGTACATACTGAGCCGAAAAGAACAGCTGACGTCTTTCAGCTGCGCCGTCTTCGTGAGTACTGCCGCACGAATTGGAGAAGCCGCCAAGACCATGGGGCAGGACATGGCGAGGATATCCGCGCGCGAATAGCTGTGCCAGTTCTAAGCCACCGGTTACCTCCATCATGGTGCCCTCGCACCAGCATAAAGGCCCACCCAACGTCGTCGGCGTTGACTACCAAGACTTCTTGACCCTGTATGTCTTCCCATTCCCACATAGTGCTTACCCAAACCCTCTCTAAGGACTCAAGGGTTCGGCAATTCCAACGCCATCTACCCCGCCCTGAATAAGTGCAAGCAAGCCATAAATTCGGTCCTCCGCCAAAGTGGCGTTCCTTCCCCGAGTCTTGCGAAACACCGCATGAAGAGACATTTTGGGTCTTGCCGTAACCGGGCTGCTGCATCTCATCCATCTATCCATCCAGTTCCGGCAAAAGGTACCTATCGTCCACCGGTACCCTACCCCTAGCGCGGTGAACTGGCGACACGGTACCGTGTCAACAGGCTATGGAGAAAACGGGCCACTTTCGCCAGGTAGACATGTCACAGGCCTATAACCGCCGGATTAGTTAGTACTCAGATCTGTTACGGCTGGAGAATCTCCGGTGTTCTTTTTTTTTTTTTTGGTTCCTACTAGCTGCGATATCAGCTGTGTATAGCCCATACTGGTAAGTTTGGCTGGCATGTTGATTACTGACATCATATCACAGCAGTCAACTTTTGGGGTTGTTGTTGCTAATACAATATAATATGAGTGAATGTGATTTTGTTTTCCCCCGAATATGACAAACATGAACTTGCGAAAAAAGGACACCCGTAGGCGATTGAACTAAAGACATGAGTTCTATACCCAAGGCGAGGAAATACTTGGTTGAGTAACAGATGAAAGTTTAGATTCCTCGGCCGGACTACCCTACAGCCCATGATTACAGGTGCTCAGGCTTCTCTAGACACGGGGTGGAATCGAACCCAGAAGTTGGGCTTTTTCCACATTCCGTACATTCTGAAGCCATTTTCCATTGTGACGTTCTGATTCGACAACATCTCAATGTCGAATGACCACAGTACCTTGGCCACAAATAGCCTCGTCTGACGCCAAGCCAAAGGCATTCCAACGCACGATCTTGGTCCCAGACTGAACGGATGGAAGTGTTCTGTTGCATCGTTTTTGAATTTGGGGTCCCAGTTTGGATGGTCACGTGGCAACCAGCGCTGCGGCCTGTAGCTTTTTCCATCGTGAAAGTAACGTGCATCTCGGGTAAATGCGAGAAACCCATACTGAACTTCAACCTGATAGCAAAAGGCTGATTAGCAGGAAAATAACGGTGGGGCGGGTAATGATGCTACGTACACCACGAGCGATGTAATTCCCATCGACTTCTGCTCCCGGACTCATTCGCGGCTGTCCACTGCTTTGCAAAACTGTCATACGCAATGTTTCCATCAGCGAGGCATGCAAGAATTTGAGCGAGCCGAGAGACTCTGCGTTGATGTCGTCGTATCTCTCAAGATTGCTTCTGATTTCTCCGACGAGCAGCTTGAGCGCATCTGGTTCGAATAGGGAGAACATTATGGTGCATAGTATCTGACTCGCAATCGGTTCGTATCCAGCAACCACCAAGTGCCCTACCGTGACTTCCAAATTCTTCTTCTCTTCCTTGGTAGGTTCAGGTGCAAAAGCAGGCAGCAATTGTTCAAAGTGGTCCAAATGTCCAACAGCACCACGGCGTTCGATGCGCGAGTCGAGAGCCTTCTGGTTCATTTCCACAACCTTTCCATGGCTTGTGATGATGGAAGGTGGGACAAAAAGCAGCTTGAAAGGACTGAGAAGTGGGAACTATTTGAAAACCTGGTTTGCAGTAATAAAAAAGTTCACCAGCCACAATTCATCCAGGAAACTTGTGCTTTTCACTAGAATTCAGATTGTTAGTAGCATTATCTAAGTTCGAGGCTCAAATAAATTGCCTACTATCCTGCAAGTGGTGTAGTTCTCGACTGTAGGCCAAATCGGCTGAGGCATCCATCGCAATCCAGTCTGTCCACTACGTATTTGTCAGCCTATGTTCTTCGTGCAGTGGTCACACTTTGTGATATCATTTACGGTGCTTACAGTCTTGAGGTCAATGCCTTCGTCCCTGCTTCCGAGATCTTTCATTCTCTCCACAAAAGCATCAGTATACTTGTTCATCGTCGGTTCTTTGGCTCTCAATGCCTTGACACTGAAAGCTGGCGCAACCTTTTTGGCCTTTTCACGATGCTTCTCTGGATTCTTCTCCCATGAGAGACCGCTATCACCTAGTCCAAGATCCATGAAATTAGTTTTTGGAAAGTGCTCGAGTCCGGCTGTGTGCGAGTCGTATATATCTGCGCTTTCAGTGTCAGACTTGATAGTTGGGGCACGAAATTACAAAAGACCTCTGCACAAAATTATACCAGTAAACGCCTTGGGTGTGATGAAAACGAGCTCATTCAGAGCTACACGAACAACGTCCCCTGGAATGGTTTTAGTCATTGTTAATCCTTTTAATCCTCAAAATGAAAAGAGACTAACCGTATTTCTTCAAAGCTTCTGCGACAGCCCATGGATACTTCCCCGTAGACCTATGCCTGTCAGTGACTGCAGCTGGTGTTATTTTTGACGTGGTTTCGTATTACTTACCATTGGTAAGCATACCATAAGTTGGAGAATGAAGCAAATCTCGGGCCTGGGAACTTGGCTGCGGGGTGGAAATAAACGTTGTAGACATAGCGGTATGATGCATACAGGACGATCTGGACATTTCAGAGTCAGACGCGAAGAGTTTACCAGAGATATGAGTACTTACTGCTCCCAGGCTGTAGCCGATGAGGTTGTTCGTGTCGATGTCCATAGCCTGCTGGTAGAGCCAATTCGAGATCATTATGAAGGAGGCAGCTGTGGAAAGGTGTGGAGAAGGCAATGTGCAAATGGTTCAAGCCAATCTGACTGATCGTGGTCGTCGGAGCAGAACAATCAATGAATCTGCCTATTCTCGAGAAAGATAGTGGTGCGTTTCTCAACGGAAGTTGATTCCATATGATGTGGTGGGGTTTTGTGTGATGCCGCGGTGCAACGCGCTACTGATCAATGAAATGCAATCAGTTGGACAAGCCGAGCCTCATATGAACCTTGATGATATCTCAGAAACCACACCAGTGGGCTTGGAGCATACCCTGTAGGTATCTGCCTTCCTAGCTCACCTAGGTATGTACGTAGGTAACCAACAATGCAAGTATTCCTTACTGCGGACCTGTGAACGAGGTACTCCGTTCGGTACGTCGCAATACTCCGTACAGAAGGAAGAACGAAACCGGTTACAAAGTACTGCAGAGTATCTCCATACTGCTATTGTGCTGATCTAGCCTTGTTTGTTCTTATGCAGGGTGAAAGAAAATGTTGTATTGTACTGGTTCGACCAACTGGTAATGATGCTTAGGAACATGCCCCACAATCAACGTGCATGTACCACCTTACAAGGGGCTTTTTGTTTGACTCTGCGCAGCCAACGGATTTGTTGCATCACTAGCGCTTGATTGCAGTCGTCTTTTCTTTTTTTTTTTCTTTTTTTTTCCTTTTTGGAAAAAAGGATCGTCACATTTCACAAGAAGCTCAGCGACGAATACCGCCATCCAAGATGCACGTCTAATCATTCATCTATAAAATTACGTCTATACAAGTTCCAGCCATTTCACCTCTGAATTGAATTTGTGCAGTGTATCGAAAGAGACTTCGAATCCATAATCACTTGATGAATTATGGAGACGCTCTCTTTCCTCTTCAGTCAGCGGCAACGTGGACAGACGCGGATCATCCATTGTGATCTCTTTCGTCTGACGGTCTCTGAACCCCAATTGGTAGCCTTTTGCTTGATCTCTCACATAGATTGCTTCAACTTGCGTGGGCAGAGGACCCAAGATTGCTTGCTTTTCCATGGCGCCGGTTAGAAAACACTGGCCAACCACTTGCATCCCCTCACCTGCGTTTCGCAAGACTAGAGGGCAATCGCAGCCTACGACGCTGTACACATGATCTCCTACACGTGCCGCTGGAGGCGCCATTCCAACGTAGCCATTGCTGCCCTTCAGTAGTTGTCGATTAACACAAAACATCCGTACGTCAAGTACCGATCCTTTCTCAAGTGATGAATCCTTCTGAGGAGGGAATGCCGAATAGGCCAACCGTATGAACCTTGACATATCGTCAAGTGAAGAACACTCGAAGCTTTCCGGTTTGGTAGTTGTTTCAAACTTTCCACGAGCGATAGTCGTCGCATAAGCTTCGATTAAAGTCCCTCCCGCAATGTAATCACCTTCGAGTTGAAGTCCGTCCAGTAGGTCATGGAGTTTACTCATCAAATTGGTCGTATCTGAGTATATTTCCGAGGGACGTAGATCTTTAATCGTGGTAATTTTGGTTCCAGCAACCCTCAAAGCTCCTCTGGTAGCCTGACTTATGTCCAGGACTGCTGCCAACTGCGAGGTCTTTGATGTCATAATCATCATCGGCATAAGTTGGGAATCTGTGCCCCAGTTCGGTACCCAGGTAGGAAACCACCGGTTCTGAAGCTCGCATTCTTGTAAAATGGATAAGTCACGGTAGGCTTGAATCCATGCGAGTGTAGCATCTTTGTATAATTCCTCCGGCTGCTTCTCGTAGTCGACGCCGATCAGCCTCTTCTCAGCTTTGGGCAGTAATTCCAGAACTGCAAATAAGCGATCGCGGGGATCTAAACATTGCAGCCCTGCAAATGAATCTCTTAGGTTCCGGAGTGATGGATCACGATTCTCATCAAGCCACCATGAGGCGCGCCATAGGTCCGGTAGGTACTGAGGCTGTAGACTGTTGGTTTGCGAAAAGTGAAGGTACAGAGAAGTCCAAGCGCAAAGGAAATCTTGAGAGGACACTCCACAACGGCCGCACATGATCGTAGCCTTATTTCTGCTTAGCACAATCTCTTGCCTGATCCATAATCTTTTAAACCAGGGCCGAGTAAAAAGTTGGTACGTTTTATCCTGGAGAGGGATGTCTATCAAGAGATCGCCATTATCATCAACCAAGCGCATTCCACGCCACTTGTGCCGCCGTATGGCCTCGGTATTAACTCTCCGTATGTCCCAGTCGATCACCACATTCTTCCCAATGAACTCCAGGTATTCCATCATTTCGGTGCTTCCGTCTGTTTCCGGACCGATGTAAGCGACGACATGAGCTGCGCGTTTGAAAATATCGCCAATTTTAGAAACCTGGACAGCCTTTTCCTCGTGACTCATTTGGTTGATACATACAGCATCAATCCACATTGTCCGTGGATTATCATTTCGACGAAGATCGTACAAGGCTATGGCGAGATTTTTGCTTAATCTTATTCTTCGTCCAGTATGCCCAAGAGCCGGGATACTGTCATTTATTTGTCGAATCTCGGCATCAACACATGGTTCGGGCGAGCCCCACGCATAAGATAAAGCCTCGTAATTTACTGGTTCAGAATCGGCAAAAGGCACGATTGCAAGGTCGATAACAAGACCATCATCTGCTTCCCCGGGCAGAATCGTCGCCGTTCTGATGTAATTTCCGCCCGGGAGAGGGTCGTATTGGTAATCGTCCATATGGGGATCCGAGAAGGTAATGGCTGAGATTACAATTTGTCATTTTGCGGTGCTTTCGAGCATGGCGACTCGACGGGAACAAAGATTTATAATATAGGCCAAGCCCACCTTCATATTTGAATGAAGGATCAGCCTTACGAACGCTGCATCGGATTCTGGTCATGTTCCGGATCTTTGCTTCTAATTTCGTCACACCGCCCTGTTCGCCTTCTTCCCTATGCATGACTGCTACGCTTTGAGTGCCTGCAAGGATGATAAGATCTCACCAAGCGAGTGTGCATGAGCGGCACGCACCGCTAATAATAAACCACACAAGTCAAGTGGCACAGCAGAGATCCCTGTGCAGCCAATAGTCAGCCGCCATTGACCTTGATTTTTTGTCAATGATTTATTGGGTCAGGTGTCTTGGCACCTTGGCTCTTGGGTCAATTTGGCTTGGCAATCTCGCCCATGTCAAAGAGCAATTCTCTTAGCTCGCAAGGCATCAATCGTCTTGTCTACCATCTGCGTACCATTGTATAAGGCCATAAATCATCAAATAAGAGTTTTGTTCCAAAAAGGCATATCTTGTAGTTCATTTCCCATCAAGAGTAACCTCTGTACACTGGATCTCTTGTGTGTTCAAGTAGTCGATATAATTTATTCAAGTCTGGACGTTATCCATCGTGCGGATTAAGGGCGGTAGTAAGTTAATACGATCAAGCCTGCATACTTCCACGATTTCAAACTAGTTTAGTCTCAACCCAACCCTTTTGTTCGACAGATGTTCAAATGATCATATGTGAATATCTCTGTCAATTTTTTATAATAACCTACACAAGGCTTGATTGTATAAATAAGACAGCGCTATATAAGAGAGGTTTGTGAAAAGATATGATAGGTATGGGTAATAGTTGATGTATTAGTTGAGTTGTTCACATCCAACAGAGGTTGGATGGTCAAAGATATATACACGTGTGGAGAAGCGCTCCACTTATTCCTACATTTTGACAAGGTTGACATCTCTTGCCACGTACAATACACATCGGCGAGAATCGAGTCGACAAAGAGTGTTAAAGTGGTGTTTCTGCGGGAAATGAGTTTTGATTACATCAAAGTGAATGTATGGCCAGGGTTGCATGTGATTGTGTTAATATTGATGTGACATTCATAGTGGCTAATGGATAAAAAGACTATGTAGTGTGGTGAGCGGGCTACACGTTACTATAACTATCACAGGCTTTTACGAAAGCGGCCCCTTTTCGCCAGGTACCTAACCTTAGGTATGTCCTTCAGCCGCCAGAGCAGTACCTAGGTAAATTGCGGGCGACGTGAGCATTTTGACCGCTACCGAGACAATTAAACGGCAGAACTCAGTACCTACTTACCTAGTCTTCGTGGCGCTGAGTCAATCCTATTTCTTATAATCCATCGGTTTCTCTAATTTATAGCCAGATTTGCCAAGCTATCGCATTCAGTGAATCAGCATCGAAAGTATGGCTGATGCGCCACAAGTGGCTGGAGCCTGTGGCGATCCGTATGCAGCCTTATAGCTGTTGGTTGCACGGGAAGGGCTTTAACTTCCCGTTGTGTGCACAAATTTGTTTCTACTGAAAGGAGCATCATGAATTTCATCTGTATTTCTTCGGTACGGTCGTATCAATGGCTTGAGCAGAATTTGTCTGATTTGACGCTGAAAGCTGGCAATAATGAGGAGAGTATGAACTTGGAAATTGAATTATTCAATATTCAGAGGAATGCATCACGATATTTATTCAAGTGCTCTGAACAATTTCATCGTGTCGGTCGCTCGGAATGAAATTGAAAAGAAAACTGTTGAGATGTTAAAGTGCAACAGTATACCTGTCGACCCACCATACGGCTTCTTAGGCAACGTTTGTAAATATGGACGTCGTGATGCACGTCAGGAATCGGGGCGGGGTGGTAGGCGCAATGTGACGTGCAGTCTCGCAAAGTCCTGCCCAAACTCGACAAATTTGGGGGCGGAGCCTGAATCTGTAAGTACAAATGAGTAATCGATTGATTTGAACGCATGGGCCCAAGCCACTTCATGTCCAATCGTTTCTGCATGATGCATGGCCCCATGCCAACCACAGCCTCGTCATTTAGAATCAGGCTTTAAAATTCATCACTTTTCCGCAAAGGTAGAAGAATCTATCCCCGCTCGCACTTGTAATCCATCAACTTCGTGGATCTACATCACCATGGCGTCCATCTATACAGCCCTCGATATCTCGAACTACGAAATTCGTATAATCACGATCCATCCTGGCGACGATGACACAATAATAAGTTGCACACTGCACAAACAAAGTCTCCTCGCCGAACAAGAATACACGGCGTTATCATATTGTTGGGGCGACCCCACAGTCACTGACCATATCATTGTCAACGGCGAGCGCGCGGCGGTGACCATCAATCTACGAGACGCGCTACTACAGCTCCGGAACATTGGGGTAGAGCGAGTATGGGCTGACGCCTTGTGTATCAACCAGGAGGATATTCAGGAAAGGAGTCTGCAGGTTCGCCATATGGCCCAGGTATATGCCCGCGCAGTTCGAACGTATGCATGGCTTGGAAAAGAAGGATCTGATCACGCCATGGCCAGTCTAATATTTCTCCGTCAAATAATGTCGGCCGGCATAGAAATCGATGGCATCGAGCACATGCATATGAGCGAGGTCGATACCGGCATCGATCTCGACGTGGCCTCCGCGTGTCCGTCTTGCTTAGCTAAAGCATCCTTTCAAGATCTAAAGGATCTATTTTGTCGCGAGTACTGGAGGCGCCGCTGGGTCATCCAAGAAATTGTTGCTGCCAGGCGGGTACAAGTTATCTGCAGCAGGGAATCCATTGATCTAGGAGATCTGATGGATGCTCTTGAGTCATGTAAGAAGTCAAAACAATGGTCACCAGACTTGATCAGCTGCTGCAAATATCTGCAACAGATAATCGATATACGCTTACAATACCAATCTGGGCGACCGCAAACTCTGTGCGAAAGCATGGCCATCACGCAGCACTTTTTGTCTAGCGACTCTCGAGACAAAGTTTTTGCTCTGATTGGTATCACCTCCGACGGCGGACGTCTGGTGCCAACCCCAAGCTATTACCAGGATTTCGAAACGATGCTGACGGACCTGGCCGCAGCCGTTTTTCGGGAACATCGTAACTTCAACATGATGGTACTGGACCGTCGCAATAGGGCAGCTACCCCAGGACTACCCACTTGGGTACCGGATCTTCCAGTGGAAGATCCAAAAGATCTTTCGAGTATCCTCCATACCGAGTTACTTGACTCCCGTCTTCTTGAACGAAGTCTGTCAGGCCCTCCGGGCACACTCAGGGTGCAAGGAGTCATTGTCGGAGTCATAGTCGCGACTTCATCTGTGCTGAAGAATGTCCCGCTAGGGATATCCACGGCGGAAGTGAGCTCGAACGATACTATCAGTACAGCAACACCTCTAACGCAGCCACAAGAATACTACGGATCATCGAGCAAAACATTAAGAGTCATACTTGCCATGCTCTCGTTACCCATCGAAGACGCCTACATGAATAATGAACGATCCCAACTAATGACGCAATCTGTAATGCCATGGAATGAACATGATAGACTGCACCGCCTGCGAATGGTCTTACGTCATACCAACAGGCCATCTCTAGCCAGCCTGCAAGAGTGGATTGACACCAACAAGGCTTTCTTTTTGGGCAAAAAGTCTTTATCGGAGTGGCTGGCTGAAGGCAAAATCAGCTACTATTATTGCTGGTTGAAGAGCATTCCGATACGTTTATGGATGATTTTCTTTCCACTTTCTGTTGCTTCCATGCCAGCAATTGTGGCCACGTCCTGTTTCTTTTTAACCCCGCGGTTCTTTATACCTATTATACTATGTTCTTTTGTCTCATTCATTTGGGTGATTGCGTCGGCTTTCATGTTCGTTGGAAACTTCCCATACTTTCAATTAGCCAAGATATTGGAGTCTAACGCAAAGAACCGAATGCGGATGATATTGTGCAGCAAAGGGTTGATCGGTATGAGTACTGCTGATGCTCAATGTGACGACCGAGTATGCCTACTTGTAGGTTGCTCAACCGCGGTGGTGCTTCGCAAGAATATCACGCAGCCAGGAGACAGTTATGCAGTGATCGGGCTAGCCAGCATCGCTTTAGTTCGAAAGGATTATTCCAGGTACCGACCACTTATTGGAGCGATTCGTTATGGCCATGACCAAGATGATCGGCATATTAATAAGCTCCAGAAACTCCCAGAATGGCGGGAATTCACTCTAGTATAGGCTTCTTATTTTATTTTGGGTACCCTTTGAATTCTCAACTTTTAAATGAAACATTCTGTTAAAAAGCACAATCGCAAGTATACTTACCCACATTATCGTAGCATCTGGCGTTGCAGTTGGCGAGGCCAAAGGATTGTAGGTAAATCGCGTGGAGCGGGCGATTGATTGGCAATGGTGCTGCAGCAGGGCCAGAGACAGGGGCGCCGAGAAGGAATCAAAGGTATCCCAGACGCCACCGTTGAGCAGCACTGCCGAGATGCGTGGTTCGAAAGCGGCGGCAGGGGCTGCCAGGTAGTCGCCGAAGGAGTAGCTGAACAGTGCCAGGCGCTCGGAGTCAACTTCGCAACGCTTCTCCTCAAGCAAGTAGTCGAATGGCGGGATAACGACACGCTCCCATTCCGGAATGAAGTCCAGGTTTTGTTGGCGATGCACCAGAGGCTGACCTGGACCGTCATAAGTGAGCGTGTTTCAGCCACGAGCCGGAGCGGGCACAACAATGATGTTATAGAGTTCCTCCTGCAAACCATTGTAGCCATAGCCGAGGATCAGCATTAATCCCAGTCAATTGATTCTATTGCTCCACAATTTCTTTCTTCACTCGCACTCATATCATATTTAAATCGAGAAATCTTCTTGCCACTTGAGAAATTTGCCCCCTTTAAAAAGACTTATTCCAACTTTACCAAAGAATTCTTCGCTGTCCGTTCAAGATCCCTCATGTTTGTGCTACCATTTCGTAGTAACGCAAGCTCCTTGTCGTGATGGTAATCGAGCACCGCTGTTATTGAAGATTTCCACAGAGGTACTTGTTGGTATTTCTTGCTCCGGAAAATTGTTAAAAGTGCAAACACTGCAGCGGCCAACTCAACACAGGCGGGGCCGATCATCCAAGGCCATCGAATCGAGACAAAAACGACGGACTCGATGCTGGTTCCATTTGCAAGCTGGTGGTTAGGACCAGAACGCAGGTAATCCGTCATGCTCTCGGCCATCTTTTCAAAAAGTCCCGGAAGATTGACATCACCGATAAGTGCAGGACTAATACCATAGTTGGTATTCGGCCATCCGCCTCCGTCTCTCCATTCTGTCAAGATCATATCAGATTGAAAATATGCCCGTAGAGACGTGAAGTCTCCATAACCCAACACCAATCGTGGAACGCCCGCTTCTGAACCGTTTGTCCAAATTTGGCCAATTTCTAAATCGTTGTCTGCGACGTCGTGCCACTCGTTGAATTGCCAATTCCAGAGATCACTTGCTATCTTGACCTCGTCAATGCTTGCAAATGAAAAAGTGTTTCCTTGAGCGTACGCTCCGGAATAATTGTAAGCCGCCATGGATAATGTACATTCCGTAATATTTTCATTCCAACCTTGTGTTATATTCCCGTTGGGTTTGATGGATGACCGATAAACAGCGATGTTGACTATATCTGGTATCATATCCATGGGTGGCAAGGTGTCATTGAGCTGCAAAATAGTTGCATAGTTTGTATCTTGACTTGTCAGAGAGAGCCCGATGCCTTTTGGTGTCGTCATATTACATATTGTGACAGACCCATCATTGTCAAAGACACAAGTCTTGGTCTTCAAGGTAGTAGTTGTAACATTTTCACAAACGCTTTTGAATCCTATTGAAATATAAGATGAGTTCCAGGAACAAGTGCCCGGGCAGCTGAATACAGAAGGCGTGGTGATGTTGTAGACACCTTGAAGGATAGCGGCTTCCATTGATGGATCTTGTTTCAGGTTATCTAAATATCAATGGTCAGAATAATTATTTTCCCACTCCATCTCATGTGGCACACTCACCGGTACCAGTGTTTGCCAAATCTCTATGTGTAAAGTGTCTATCGTATTCATGAGAGAACCCAAAGGTAGCGCTGGGGTCCTCTATGGTAACATTCCGCGGCTGAAGATCGATTACTTGCTGAGTAAAGGGCGCGAAACCGAGTCGACTTATGGTAATCAATGCTCCAAGTGTTGCTAGATTCCATCGAACTCTGGAGATTAGGACGATGGACCCATACGGACCACGACTAGCACCGTCAAAATATTCGAGGTTATATAGCCTATCCTGCTTCCCTTTGAAGTGAAGCCATTTCAATTGACTGATGAAAGAGCTCACGTTGTGCATCATTGCTGCAGTGCACATGGTCGTCAAGATGGAGATAATTGCATTGATAGAGATTGAGAACGTCCAATATGTGAGTGGTCTGTTGTCCATGCGTATGAAGATGACGATGATGACGCAGAAGATAAGAAGACTGGCGATAGAAGTCAACACCTCCAGACCCCATGCGTTGTGGGACAATGAGTTGCTATGCTCCTCCACCATGGATGTATTTTCTGGGTGGTCATGACTTGGATCTGACAATTCAACCTCTGCGTCAATCGAGTGTGTTCGTTCATAGACCCATGGGACCTTGATCCGATAATTTGGAGCCATCGTGGAATGACTGTTGTTGCACAGGTCGAGGTCGAAACTTGAGAATTGCTGTCTCGGTTGATGCGACGTTTCGTACCAAACATTGTGCTTCTTCTCATGGTCATATAGGCAAAGACGTGCCTAAACCGGTACATTACCTTGTGGTGGCTAGACGCTACAAGCTCGACTTGTACGCTAATGTGATTGTGGCGTCGCTGTTGGGATCCGAATTTCAGCTGCCGATGCCAGCGCACGGAGCAGTGCTCTCCAAATTGCGTATAGGTATGGCTAATAGGCAGCGTGATCAAGCTGGCGCATTGGTGGCTCACCGCTGGGCAGCTGGCCTAGTAGTTTTGCCCTTGCTCGGCTTTGAGAGTCTCTAACATGATGTGGGTGATTGGGTTTGATGATTGGATTGGATTACGATTATGCGTGAGCTGAAAAGTGAAAGCGCGTGTGGCTTCGTTTGCGGGTTCACAATTGGATGGGTGTCCTGCATGGTGGCGCTGGTATCTAGCACTAGCATACTATAATAGATTGGCAATAGATAGGAATACCATGTTTATACCACACTCCTGATTGACTCCCAAGGTGGCTTTACAATTATTCAAGTTGGCATGCCTCAATCAATATAGAGATTAGTAGTCTTCAGCTCTCAATACTATCCGCGTTTGATCGAAGTCTTTGATGCAAACAGGTGGAAAGAATCATTGGGCAACTATCGATATGCCTCGGGTATAGAGATCATCAGCCAGATGTTGACCATGTACGTAAAAGAACGTTTGCAGCCCGTGGGAAACCTTCAAGTCTTGCCAATCTCGCAAACCAAAGAAGGGATGAGAGCCCTTCAGTCTGGACAGAGTATGGGCAAGATTGTGTCTGACATGGCAGATGACGCACTTGTGCCGTTCGGTATACCCTTTTTTTAATTGTCTCTTTGGCAAATGTAGCTTCGCATTCCGACATTGACTTTGAACAGGTAAGGACACGATCACAGTCAACTTGGCGATTGGATGCAACAAAGACATGTATCATTGCCGGAAGGACTAGTTTGCTCGGTTTGATGATTGTGGAATGGATGGTCAAGCAAAAAGGGGCTCGATGCTTACTTCTATTGTCGCGGTCTGGCATCAAGCACGATGCCGTTGAGACTGCAGCCACGATCAACAGCATGCGTGGGCTTGGAGCCGTCATAGAGGCGCCAAAATGCGACATCGGCGACATCAATGTGCTGCGCGACGTCGTTGAAGCATACCGAGGCTCTATGCCTCAGGTTGCTGGTTGTAACCAATCCTCAATGGTGTTGAAGGTTTGAGGTTTGTCCATCCAACTCTCCCACTGCAGCGCTTGAACATGCTGTCGAGCTGAAGACAAGGAGATACTAATACAACCCCCTAGGACTCGGTTCTTGCAAACATGTCTCATGAGGACTGGACAGCAAGTACAAAGCCAAAAAGTGCGGTGCCTGGAAATCTCCACACGGTCCTCCCGAAAGGTCTTGATTTCTCCGTCCTACTTTCGTCCATATCTGGCATCGTGGGCTGGGTTGGCCAGGCCAACTACGCGGCAGCCAACACATACATGGACGCCCTGGCCCATTACCGCCATGCTCTAGGCGAGCGTGCAGTGGCTCTGGATCTCGGGGCCATATTGGACCACGGCGTCCTCGCCACCAACGAAGCACTGCGCGATCGCATCTTGAGGGCTGGGATCCTCCGTGGTGTCAGCTCCTCGGAGCTGCTTGCCTTGCTCGATGACTTTTGCGGCCCCTCTACAGGTGGTGCCGTTGCCGGCCCGCACACGGCGGCGGCACAAGTCGCCATTGGGCTGGCCCCTGCCTCTGAGCTAAAGGCCGCAAGCCCGCAGACGCCCAGCTCGCTCCTCTCACTGCCCTTCTATCGACACGTCTTTGCCAGTACCGCCGCAGCCTCTCCTGAACAGACCAGCGGCGAGGAAAGCATCCAAGCCCCGGCGGCGACAAGACTTTGTGTCCACGGGCAACACTGGCGTCATCGTCTCCAAGGCGCTGTTTCAATGCTTGGTCACCATGACGCCCGGACGGCGGGATCGCCTGGATGCCAATCAATTGGATGAGGCGATGCAGACCTTTCGGTTGACTCTCTGCAAGCCATTGAGCTGCGCAGCTGGTTTATGCAGGAGTTTGCGGCTGATGTACCCATCTTTGTTATCCTGGGCGACAAGACTTTGGCTTCTATAGGGCTTTTGGTGGCTGGAAAGAGTGAACTGCGGGCGACGTCAAAGGCTAAAGCTAGCGTGTGCAGGACCACCCCAGCCAGCATTTTGACCACTACCGAGACGATTAAACGGCAGAGCTAGGTACCGGTTAGGTAGTCTTCGTGGCGCTTAGTCGATCGCGTCTGTAAAGGTATTACCCATGGACCGACCCCCACTGATTCAAAATGATTTCTTAGGTAAAATCATGGTATCAAACATCCTTGCCTTGACATTAGGAATTCTCCGATTTCTGGCGCGCAACAAATGAAGCATGATCCAGCCTGCAACCAAGCAATCAATTATCAATATCGTTTTATGTATCCTCACTCGACCAAAATCTGGTACCTACTTAACATAATTGGGATCATTGTAAGAAACACAAAACCCTATATACGCTCCGTACGTTTAGATAAGAACACGCTCCAGGTGCTGTCTTGCGCTCGATCCGAGACTATGGAAAAAGTATGCCATCTCAGATTTAGGGAGCAAAATACTTGTAGGTGGCTTGGACTGGGGCCACAACCTCATTGAAGAAATCGAGCCGGAAAGACTGCAAATTGAAGTCGTGCATGTCACGTCGGCCCGGAAAATCCCCATGGATACATCGCTGCGCAGCGTAGCCGTAGCCACGGCCGACTGAATCATAAACCCTTTGAACCAATTCATCCGCTATTTCAATGTCATCAGGTACAGCACTGTTCGCTGCCCTCTGCGACAAACTTGTGCTTCTGAGAGACTGAAAGGAAGTATCAAGGCATAGCTCGATTAGCAATACTCCCAAAGCGAAGAGAGTCTTGTTGATGCCCCTCTGGATGTGAAATGTCTGAATTCCACCATCTGCCGCCGATCGATCATTGTTTCCAAGCCAGCCTATAGCAGGCAACTGTGATACATAGTTATCAATGGACGGCTTTTTAAAGATGGAAATGTCATCGATCCATTCCCAGTCGGGAGCCAGCCAGGGAGTTTCAGCCAGATAGAGCACACCCCAGCACAAGCCAGCAGACACAGCCAGTCTCTCTGACAACGAGGCACGCGGAATATGGCCCCTTGACGAGCGTAGCCGTTTGCTGCTAGAAAGTAGACTTTTGAGTTCCATCGGGACTTCCTGCGGTGAATCCAATCGATCGTGTTTGATGATTATACGGCTTTTGTTCTCTGCCATCCCCAACACGAATCGGCTGTCCGAAGCGGTTTCATCAATCAGGGAGCACAGGCTCCCGATTTCCCGATACGCGGATAGAGGCCTCTCCAAGCCAGCAACTGTCAATGCGTTAGTTTTTTCCTCTGCGCATAATCATATCAGAAGGTCTATGTTTTCCTTACCCGCAAGGGTTGCACTCGGCGTTGAAGGCACTTTCCTTCTAAACACAGACTGCAAGCGACGTGAGATACTGTGAGACTTCTTGGTGCTGACTGGAGTTTCGGTATTCACGTGTTGGCTTGAAGTAGAGGTAGTAGCTGAAGAGCTTGCAATCACCTCGCCATCATGGACTTCGACAACAAAGCTGTGCCAGACAAGCGGGCTCTTAGGCTGGCTCTGTCCCGGGGTTATTGCAATGGGCAGTATATCGATCTGCGGCTGATCATGCTCATGCCATGAAAGTTTCAGATTTCCCTGATGACAATGAGCCACATCTTTGCACTTCCACGCACCCTGTACTGCACGGAAAACGGATCGAGCGTTCTGCCTTGTCTTGTCGCATCGGTCGATGTCGAACCCATTCTTGACTGTGGAAAGGGTAGGTGTCTCTTTCGTTGAGGTGATTCCCACTTCTGGCGTTTGAAAACAATTCGTCAATACGTTGTTCCAATATTGGAGCTGCTCGGCGAAAGTCCACGTCTTCATGTGGCTGATGCTCCTTTTGACTCGTCGCCATTCGTAACGGGCTCGATCTGATGTGTCGTTGAACCATGCAGGCTTCGATGATCAGCGAACTTGACAATAAAAGGCTCCATGCAAAGAATACTCACCTTTCCCCGGGAATCAAGTTCCATCTTCTTCATCATCTGCGCCGCTATTTTGTCCATCTGGCGGATAATATCCAGGTAGTTTTCATGCTTTTCTGGAAATCGTCTTCGCAACTGCATTTCCAGATTTTGTTGTGTGGGGTCCACGAGATTGATTAATTTGAGTGTCCTCCTCAGTTGTTCGTCCTGGGCGAAGACCTGCAAGCGGATGTCGTGCAGGATGCTTTCGTAATGCCAGTAGTTCTTGGACAACTGTGCTACCGTGTCATAACTCTCAATTGCAGAAAGAATGAGGGGCAGAGCCCCCAGTACCAGGCCCGCGACCTCCATGGTCCAAGAGCGCTGGAAGTAGATAATAGCGACGCAGCTCTCGTGCCCGAATGTAAATCTCTCTCTATTCTTTTGCGATGGAATGCCTTTACTCGAAGATGATGGTCCAAGGATGCTCGAGGCTTTACGCGTAATGCATGTAAGCGACTGGTGTGAGGCTGAGAGATCTGTGGCCTCCAAATTGGGCCTGTATGCATATTGCATTCGTGATTCGGCAGGGACATTGGGAGTTTCCCCGCTCGCAACGTACATAAGGCTCTACCTCTCTACGATCTACGCGCAATTACACACCAGCAAAACATCTTCAAACAATTGAATCATCATGGATGTCATGGAGAATGTGACCAGCGGGCCACCGCCCACACTTCATGGATCTGTTTTGGCCTCTCTGAGTAAATTCAAAAGCCTACTTGCCGCACTCGACAAGACTGCAGAGGGCGTATTAAGACCTCAAAACATTGAAAAAACGCAGATATGGGAAGGATACGGCCGACTGAAGCTTTGGGCGGAGGAGTCCAACGCAATCAGTCCTCCAGAAGAGCTAGGATCCCTTGACCAGCTCCTCGACTCGAACGATAAGATCCACGAAGCTATTCTCGACATCTTCACCCAATTGCAAAATATGCTTCAAATGGGTGCGTCCTCTGCCGATGCAGGCTTCATCAAGAGTTCTACTGATTTTGCGCCGTAGCTACGGATATTGCCGAAAGCCAGAGATGGAGGTCGATCTGGAAAGCTCCATCGCGGGCATGAGTAATTCAGAGGGCACGTGGTCACAATCTCCTTCCAATCTCGAGCCATCGACAGAACAGCTTGGTACTCGTGTGTCAAAGCTTGCCATTGTCGTCTCACACGTGACGTCCAAAGTTGGGCTATTATTCCAAATGTCGAATGTGATTAGAAAATTGCAGCCCAGCCACACTAGTCTCAAGAGTTTAGAGGACGCAGATGTGCATCAACAACTACAAAGTGATCTGCGAAGGCTGGGAAAGGGAGTCGAGGACAGCTCGATTCCAGGCAAAGACCGATCAGCGTCTTCAACATCAAGAGCCGAGGCGGCGACAACAGCTCATGCTCCAAGACTTCAGAGAGAGTCTGCCTCAGCTTTGCCGCATAACGAATCATATCCCAAGAAAATATCCAGGGCAATAGAGAAGCGTCAGCACGCTCTCCTTTGGTAGGCATCTGATGCCGCGTCGCATTAGCTTTGCGGTTCTGTTGATTGACTTGTTTTCTGCAGGGCTGATAGTAGCTTGATCCGCACCACCGAGTATTTATCCATGGAAGACTGGCCACGGAATGTAATGGCAGAGATAGACATGTCTCATGCTGCGAGACGGGAAACGCCCGTTCTACAGGCATACAACAGACAGTTGTTGCCGTTGCCCGTCAGCGATCCGACAGGCCGCTGGACAAACCCGGTTGGCATGTTCAATGAGGTACCCGAGCGATTGCAGATCAACTCCCTGTTACTCCATCAGGAACTCGAGCAGATCACTTCTATACAGTTTAACTTCATGCCTCTACGGTCAGTCTATGAAACGTCCGTCGGAATATTGCTCGCTAACGACTAAATAGCATGGGATCGCCGTACAAAGTAGGGAATTCCAGAGTTGCTACGACATTTTCCACACTAATCAATTTAAATAGCTTTTGATCCAATACTTGCCGGATATCGAGCTTCGATTGAAAGCTCTACAGCGATCGCAGGAAATGTCTTTAATGCGGGAAAACAAGACAAACACCAACACTGAGAAAGGTACCCCAGCAAATCCGGCTCCAGGACGAAGGTGGCCGAAGGGCGAAGTCGGCGACGAAGACGTACGAACAGAGACGATCGCTACAACTGTCGCTCATTTGGAATGCCTTTTGCAGTTCATCAACTTTGACCTTGCACCTCTTGTCGAGTTGCGTGAAGAGATAAAGAATCAGACATTGACGCACATCACCTTTGATAACATCTGGCACTTGATCAAGCCAGGCGACCTGCTCCTGTCAAATGACGGCGAAAAATTCCAGCTCGTACGCGCATACTCGGTCACCGGCGGGCAGCGGCGGACGCGAAACCGCTCGATGGAGGAGTCGCTCTCCAGACAAGTACGTGGCATGAAAACAGCAACGTGGAACCCCTTTCAACAAAACGAAGATTCCGAAGATGAATATGTCGAGTCACGGATTGATGCCACAAGTGGTGTCGGCACATGGGCACCATTGAGAGTTGACTCATTCAGCATGTGCGCGAATGGATTCAGAGTTGGCCCAATCGAAGTGCCCCGGAAGATCAAGCACTTCGCCGGGAAGAAGAAAATAACTGATCTTGAAATTTACCCACTCGTCTTCCATGAGCATTGCGAAGTGCTGCTGGAGCAGATGCGACACCGGGGGATGAAGTATATTGAAGCTTTTGGACACAAAGGCTACCAAGGCATCGGGCAGTTGCTTTCAGGGGAGAACAGGTTGGAAGAGATTGATGGAGACGTATTTGTCGACCCAGAATCATTTTACCAAGCCTACCCGTCCCAGCAACCACGCCTTGGCCGGCTTCGAAAGAGCCAGCCCGACGCAAGCGAGACGACTGAAAGTTTCTTCAACCACGTAAGTACTTTAGTAGGTAACGAAGTGGACAGCAAACTTTCTGAAGAGTATATGGCATCAATTCAGAGCGTGCTGATGCCAGTCAAAATCGGCGATTTCGACTCTGCTGACGTGGAAAATGTTGCTTTGCTGCCGCGGCTCGTGATTGGTTTCAGCTTCCACGCACACAGTTGGTGTAAGTTTCTTTTCAAACTCTTCACACCCATCAGGCCTTGAAGACACGTTATGCCACGTACATCAATTGAACTCACTCCTATCCAGTTCTTCTTGACATCGACGACATAATCAGCATAGAAGCCCAGTCAAACCACGCATTTGATCAACTTGTTTTGCCGCCGGGCCACAAGAAACTCATCCTCTCCCAGGTCAAGAACCACATGTCTCAGCGATCCTTGCGATACTCACAGAAACAAGTAGTTGGCTCAAAAGGTCATGCCCAGACCCCCCAAGATATTGTACGGGGAAAGGGTCTGGGCCTGATATTCCTACTGCATGGCCCACCTGGAACAGGAAAAACCAGCACCGCGGAAGCTGTAGCAGCCTATGTCGGCCGACCTCTATACACTATCACGAGTCGTGACATAGGCGCTGACTCGGAGTCAATGGACAAACGACTCAGAGAGCATACTGCCAGGGCAGAGAAATGGGGTTGCATTATGGTCCTTGATGAAGCCGATGTGCTGACAACGCGTCGATCGTTGACCGATATAAGGCGCAACACTATTGTCAATGGTAAGATAAAAGATATTTTCGATCTTGCGTTTTCCACCTGGTTCGTTGTGCTAAATGCATCAGTCTTTTTACGTGAATTGGAATACTATTCTGGAATCATGTTTATGACTACGAACCGTGTCGGAGTCATTGATGAAGCAATTGTTTCCAGAATACATTTCAGCATTCATTACCCTCCATTGAGCCGGAAGGCATCAAGAGAGATTTGGTGGGCCTTACTCAGCCGCATAAAAAATGCACATGAGAATCCTGGACCAAAGATTGTTTTCAACAAGACCAAGATACTCGCCTACATCGACCGGAACCAGGGTCAAATGAATGGTCGTCAAATCCGCAATGCTGCTCAAACTGCAGTCGCTTTAGCGAAAGAAGGAGCGGCTTCAGCAGATTCACCGGATTGGGCGCACTCGTATGATTCGTCTGGTTTGGCTGATTTGTCTGACGCGTCTGGTTCGACTGATTCGTTTTATTCGTCTGGTTTGGCTGATTTGTCTGACGCGTCTGGTTCGACTGATTCGTTTTATTCGTCTGATTTGACTGATTTCTCTGATTCATCCGACTCAACAGATTCACCTCAGGAAATTCCAGGAATTGTGCGGCTGAGATGTAGGCATTTCAAGGTCATCTTCGCACTAAGCGCTCAATTTGATGAGTATTTTAAATCTGTAAGCGGGTTCGATAGGAGTACACATGCGGAACGGAATCAATTGCGTAACGACAACTTCGAGTTGGCAAGAAATGAAAAAGTCAAAAAAGTCAGAAAAGTCAAAAAAGTCAAAAAAGTCAAAAAGACTGCTCAGGCTGCTCCTTAGACTACTCAGGCTGTTACTTAGACTGCCCAGATTTGAGCATCGACTTACAGCGTGTCATTCACCATTCACCGACGGGTTTTATGGAAAATATAGCATTTAAATTGCTATTCATTTTTTTCTTTTTTTTCTTTTTTGCAGTTTTACCATGGCCTTTAATATTATGATATTTATTTGTATCGCTCTAAGTACGCCATATACAACTAAGAGGATAAATGAATTATAAAGTGAATAAACTCGTTAATCGGAATATAAATTAAAGCAGCGATGCGTGTTTATATACATTAATCAAGAACTCCAATGGGTCATTCTTGGAATACTTAATAGTCTTCTCATGACAAAGCTTTGTCACATCAAACTTGGCTAATGCAGCAACTTTGGTATAACCATTGATGACAGTTCCACTGGTTTTCCATGAGTCACACCGAGCACACTATCAAAGTCGCCATGCTACAATACTGCCTTGGTTGGGTGTCAATACAAAGTCGGTCACTTCGGATGCTGATGCCATCTGCAGCTGCGAAACAGCAGGTCAATGGCTGCGGCTTACACCCACGCCTGCTGACCGACCAAGGCTCTCTCTTCCGCGCCACACCATATGCTTGGGAAAATGAATAAAAAGGGTGGCGATTCCCATTATGGCACAAAGGCGCTCATCCGAATGATACGTACGGTCTTGTCGGGTAGTGGCTGTCATGTGTTTTCGCCCCAATCGTGCCGCCCAATTGCCCAGAACGCCGTGCCTTTCAATGGTACAAGACTTTTACCCCGGAGACGACAATCTTCATTGGCATTCCGCCGGGGTTTTCCTCGCGGTTACCTGCAGGCATCGCTTACCTCCGCAGGTCTCCGGGGCGGGACGGACGGAAGGCCTAGGCTTTGTCTTTGCTCGTGTCACCCAAACACGAAGGCCAAGTCTCGGTTGTAACCAATCACTCCAGCTGAAGACGGGCGGAGGGAGGGAAGCCTCGGGCCAGAACCGGCGACCCGGTCAGCTTCTTTTATTGCCAGACTCCAGAGCTCGGTTACCAGTTCCCGGTCACCGATCCAAGTTCCACACATGGTCAATACGTCTCGGTCTGGTGCTAGTTACCATATATTGGACACGTGCGCTGACACATTTGGCAGGAAATATCGGGGTATTCGTGTCGTGCAGCGCTAGGCATTGTGCCCAAACGACTTTCTCCAACGGGAAACGGAAATGACGCCGATTTGACGCAATCCTGTTTTAATGGTTGGACAAGAAGCTCTTTGAATTGGGCGATTTGTGGCCGCTGAAACACTTTGGCGGTTGTTTCTATATTTGACAGGAGAAAAGGAAGTACGTCGAGCAACGCAACTTCTCTCGAGCCAAGTCGTCGCCACGTTGGAAAAAGCCAAATAGCCCATGCAGTCCAGAAGTGCAGCATATAGCGTTCACAGGTGGTAAGCAACAACCTCTTCTTAAGATCAGGCACCTACACATTGATACGTTGGGCAAGGCTAGACTTTTGGGCCACAATTGACTTGATTAAACGTCTTCGGCACCCCGATGCTTCGGTCGTCACAAGATCGATCGGCAAAGGACGGGTGGCACAAAGTCGGAGTCGAGTACAATGAAAATACGTTGTGAGTGCGAGAAGCTATCAAGCCACATGAGAACCACGCGGGTAAATGCACGGGTACCAGCGCTGCGGAAGTTCCATGCTTTTATCAATTCTTCCACTCTTTTCCAATCAATCTCCCTTTGGACCCGACTGGAGGGTTCTGGAACTTAACGAGTACCTTAGGGCAAGCTACGAAAGGCTCTGGCCTCATCTCCCAGTGTGCTGCACAACGCGGGTTAGTATATGCTCTATGCAGAGCGCAGATGGGATGCGGATTCGGATCTAAGAGTCTGCGTCTCTTGGAATTGCTGCACCGGTGTAAATAAAAGACACAGGCTGGGACGATGGTGACAGACAGACGAGCAGAGCTGCAAGGGGCCAACACTCGCGAGCCATGACGTTTCCGGTGTGGGCGGGAAAGCGGGATGCTGTCGTAAATCGCATTGTCAAGATGGCGGGCAATGCACAACATCATGCATTCGAGACCGCGGTCCGGATATCAATGTTTTGACGCAGGGGAAAGGCCGATTTCAGAACCTTTGGCGGGAGAGAGCAAGAGAGGAAGATGCACTGATGCATTCCATGGCGCTGGGACAGTGGAGGTGCCACCCCCCCGGCAGATGGGACTCTTGAAAAGCCAGATCGAACCACCTGCATCTGCAATCGGCCAGATGAGGAAACCCTTGATCTCGGATCCTTGGGGATTTTGCAGAGGAATCCACACCTGATTGTCCATTCAAAGACTTCGTGTTTCTCTTTACCGCGTACCGAAAACGAGATGACAGGGAGACACTTGGGGCAAATATTGCTAGAAGCGAATCGCATCCCTACCAGATATATACGTTTTCATAGTGGTTCAGAGTGTAGAGTGTATACAGCGCTGCGTAGGATCATTTGATGGCCAGATAATGCAGGCCCAAAGTAGAGGCGCTCTCTGCCAAGATGTTATCCGGCTGCATGAAGGACGCACTGTATCGACGCATCCAGCTTTTCGTATCTGCTGGATTGATCATAGATCAGATATGATAAGATTTTGATGATCAACACCAATGGTTACTGCGCCTTGGTTTGTCTTTGAAAACTTTGGAATAACAATACTTGTCCATGATGATCCAATTGCGCTAGAAATATGCCAAAGTGTTGAAAACCAGAACAATCTTAGCAATGTCAAGTCTTAATGTAAGGTCACACGAAGTAATTGTAGCAATATCGATTTCCCATGCGTTGGCTACTTCATGGGTAACGTAAACTTGGCCTAGCTGAGAAAATACCAGAAGGAATAAGATTGGACAATGATGACTCCAGCCCCCAGTAGGTATACTGTCCTGGAAGACAACCATCCTCTGGACGCTTTGCGGCTTGAAATTATGATGAGTATGCATAGTAGATTGTCCCTTTGTCAATTGAAGGCCGTTTTGGATAACTGGTCTCTCAGATCATCAGGCCACGGGTAGTGTTGACCAGGCATGATATTGGCTGCCGGAGAGATAGACGAAGCGACGCAATTCCAGCTTTGGAGTCTCGTTCCCGTCTGCCGAATACATGGAAGCAAGGTGTCTGGATGGGCGATAAGCCTGCATATCTCCAAATCTCGTATAGACGTGATGGCGGGTCAATTTCGCAAACCCCGTGGCAAACACTTTCCCTGTCCGGGGTCGAGAAGCTGGTGAAGTTTTACTTTTTCTTTGCCTTGCAGACGGCGGTTGGGGAGATTCCGCATAGACTGTGACAGCGGCTACCCCATGTGGTATGCGTTGTCCAGCCTTCTGCAGCAAGATGTTTTGAGAACATCAAAAGCAATTTTCTTGCATCAGGCATCTACCACGAGGCGCTGCACAAGCGAAAAGCATGACTCGACGCGCAAGTTCGATTCCAACTCTGTTCGGTATCTCCTTCCTGTTCGCGCTGGCCTATAAGTATAAACACCAATCGCTATCGTTAATCAGGTCATGAGATACGCCACGGAAACCTTACCAGACATGCTGCCCAGCATGGAGAGGGCTCGATGCTTTTTCAACGGGACGCATGGAGGGGAAAAGCTCTTTGCAATGTCGGAGGAGGTTCAGCCGTCCCCTATGAGCGGGATACAACTTGGCTACTTCTCCATCCTTGTGACTATGCACGCACATTTGATGTATCAGATGGAAACTTCGGACCTGGAGACGGTTGGCTGGAGAAGGTCATAAGTGCCCTGCCTCATTGAGGCTCGAGGAACAAGCAGGCTCACTTTGCAGCTATCATAACCGAACACGTCAATCAAAGACAGCCTGAGTCGAGGAGAGATTGGCATCTTACCTCAAAGTCGGGTAACACTTGTACGTCGGTAAGCTCAGAGCTCTCACCGATACCCTACTCGCCAACGCCAAGGCTAGTCCATTTGCTGTCCTTGCTCATTACAGCAGAACTTGAAGGGGGGAATATTTGTGTTTCTTCGACAGCAGCGCAGATGAGGCTTATAGCGGCTCTGACACGAATATGATCCGAGGGTGCCTCTGTGCTTGCTATGATTGAGGGGACCAAGCGTCGTTGGTGCGGCACAGCCAGCCAGCTCCTTTGCTCGTCAACGGTGGTAGTTTTCAATATCCCTTCTCCAAGCCTGCGCCCAGGCATTGTGTTCCCCATGCCAATATCAATCACTTGTCATGCATGTGCGTCATTTACGACATTCAGCCTTGTGAGACATTTCTTCTTTCTGCTGGCGTGCGTTACGGGTTTGTGAGCCGGACCCATGGGGATGTGTTTCCCCTGTCACTTGACTGCGTGCCGTGTGCTTAACGTAGCAGTCTGTTCGTTCCGTACTCAGACAGACAGACGGGTGTCGCTCAATGTTCGGAGTGTTGCTCCTTGTGTAATGCAATGCTCAACGGATCGTGCCAATGATCCCTCGCCGGCTGGAGGGATGCCCGGCTCCAAGGTGATTGGCAGGTCGTGGTGATGTCGTCCAAAGTTGCATAAGCGACAAAGTCTTCGCACAAATATCATATTCTTTCTGCATCAGTACCCGACGCCATGACCTTTTGGAGTCATCCCAAGTGTTTGAAATTTTTCGAGTCGGTCAAAGACGGCAGTAGTATGTACTTTTCTTGAATCGTTGAAGAATCCCAGTACTCCCCAATTGCCCCCTGTACTAGTATGCATTTGTGGTGCGGTGTGTCCGTATGCCACGTTGTTCAAGAGGATATGCATTGGCGCGGGCGCGGGGATAGGATAGAAGCGGCGGGTGGAGACGATGCCGTTTCGTTCCTCTCGCCAAAGGGCCAGGTAATTGGCAGCGGATCGCCTAAACCCTTGTCAGAGGTGTTGATCCTATCTAGACCGGTTGGCGTCTTCTTCTGGCATTATCAAGAAAGGGCTTATCGCGATATGCAGGCTTGAGGTGGAAACCATGTCCGAAGACAAAGCGAGACGGCAGCCAAG